ATTTCTGCATGTACGTAAGCATTAATTTAGTTACATGCATACACTTTCAGATCCGTGTTTTAATTAAAAGTCGTTTATAGTTTTTGCAAGAAATATATTTACTTGAAAAGAAATAGTATCACGATGTAATGGCACCAATCGGTAATAGTTAGGGATCGTGTAAAAGTGATTGGAATATGTTCCGCCATTTTTATAAAAAAAAATAAAGCGAACTATATATTTATATGTAGCACCATGCATGATGTCTATTATAATACTCTTTTATCTGCTTTATAGTCTTTTGGCCCCTTTGTATTATTTATCCTCCCTTTTTTAGAGCAACATGGTGGCAGCTAATAAAAAGGGGGCACTTGTTCCGATCACTTGTACAGGATCACTTGCGTGGATTTTAGGTGTGAATATCGTCGTTTAAACTAGGTGATGTAAAACAGTAAGAAGATGAGACTTACTTCACGCCCAAGTGTCACTCAATCTTTTTGTCGAATGCGAAAGAAACTTAACCGTAACTCAACTGAAGAGCAGTTATGTATCACTAATTTTACTAGCGGGTACTTACACGATGATAAAGTTTTGCTTTCTAGTGTTGGTCATGCGCTCTCGTATACCGCGCCAAAAATTCATACAAATTTTTTTTTTTTTTACCTAGTACAGATAAATTATTATCGGGGGTAATCTAACAATTTGAACTGATATGTATTGTGTACTTGTCTTCATCAATTCCAAGACTTTACACATAGAAAAATGAGTCATACGATTACGTATATATGAGGAAATCTACATAAACGGGATATTTTTTTACTGATATTTTCACCTCGTTGGTCCGAACTAAAGGTTTTTTTACATCGAGTCTCAAATTTCGAAATCACAATATTTTGACAGACATTCATAACACAAAGTAAGTCACTTACTAAACCAGAATTTTTAAAAAATAACAAAATTAACGTTACACTAAAAGTTTAGACTGATTTTCATCCTCAGGCAACCATAAATATTAAGAATGTGATTAAATAATCTTAAACTGAGATTTCAATGTTGCGTAAAGTAATGCATTTTTCTCCTAAAAGATTATTGAACCACTAAAAGTAACGTCACGCTGACTTCATTGAACGTAGGTAGATCCATGTGTGAATTGAATCTTGTTTATTATTAAAGTTAGCTGTATAATATTAATTACCTTAAACTTATACAACTAACATTAAAAAATTGAAAATAAGATCCAATAAAGATTTTAATTTAATTAAAACGTCAATAATCACGTATTACAAAACTAACACTTGAGCTCTCTCTCTCTCCACAAATTTGCCTACAGCTATAATTAGGTATATTTGGGCATAATAGTTCGCGTTTAGCATAAATAGAGTACATATTGATGTCCTCGAAGAGCTCAACTAAGTATGCTTGGCTAACCTCCTGAACAGCCATGACAGACGAGCTTTGGAAGCGCAGATAAGATTTTAAGTCTTGATCTGTTTTTCGAAGGAGATGCTGAAAAGTCAGCTCACGTCGAGACGGATTTTGCGAAGTGCTACTGTTCCAGGCCTGTAACGGTGAGGTAAATGTCCCGATTGTGAGACAACGTCCCAATTATTGGGATGTTTTGAAATCAATTAATATTTAAATAATGGAGAATATATACAGGATTGTAAAAAAATTTCGTTGTATTATACGTGGAAACATTTATCATGTATCTTATTTTCAAAGCTATAGTACGTATGGAATATTATGAAAAAAATATTTATTGCAACTCTGCCATTGTACTACTATGGGACATATGAATCAGCACCTGTTTTGACTTTCACTTCACTGAGTTTTTTCTTAATTAAATTAAATTCTTTGTCAAGATATGTTTTTTTTTCATGAACTTAGGTATTCCTAAATATATTTAAAAACAAAGATCAGTATTTTTAATGCGGATTTTTCATTTATAACCATGTCTGAATATACGTACATCTAAAATTTTAAGGTCCCACTTAATGGTACAGCATAATGCATGTACCGTATTTACGTACACTTCATATTTATGCCTTTGGCCCGATAAATGAAACACAGCAAAGTTGTTGTTTTACTTGCAAATCTTTTATTCTGTTATGTCAAAGTAAATACAGTGATCAATTTTAAAATCAATTTTAAAATTATTGTAACTGATTTCCAGCTTCATAGTAAGTTAATTATTGACATACAGTAATAAATCGTCCATATAATCTCAAAAGTGAGCAGTCATAGAACTCTTTATTTTGTAATTACCTACTTAATTAACAATATTTATTGATGTTAGTTAAAAAATGAAAGAAAAAGATATTAAAAAAAGAATTAAACAAGAAACGTAGGTATAATAAGATTAATAGATTATGTTCTCTTAATATTTTGTTGTGTGTCAAAATTTAAAGTTTATTATCGTGCATCATGCTATTTATTTATTTAAATTTTAGTGTAAATTATATGGATGAATAAATTAATTTTGTCACTAGATTATCACTAGGAATTATTATTATTTCCTCACTACCAAAGGATCCTTTGTTCGTTTGACCAAAGGAAAAGATGGTAAGTACTTTAGTGAAGTCTACACAGTGTACCGTCGACAAGTAATTGGCCTCGTGTACTTACTGATTTATTTTACAACTATCACTACACGAGTTTCTGTAGATATGGCAAGCAAGTGTATCTACAAACGTATTAACAGCTCTCAAAATTATCTTATGCAGATAACTAACGACTCTTTGTTCCGCGCTTCGTAATTGTTAATAATAAAATTTTTTTTACAAACGCATTACACTATGTTTTTTATCAGTTAATTAGTGAAGACGCAGAAAAAAAAATTTCTGCATGTACGTAAGCATTAATTTAGTTACATGCATACACTTTCAGATCCGTGTTTTAATTAAAAGTCGTTTATAGTTTTTGCAAGAAATATATTTACTTGAAAAGAAATAGTATCACGATGTAATGGCACCAATCGGTAATAGTTAGGGATCGTGTAAAAGTGATTGGAATATGTTCCGCCATTTTTATAAAAAAAAATAAAGCGAACTATATATTTATATGTAGCACCATGCATGATGTCTATTATAATACTCTTTNTAAATTATTATTGCGATCTTATTTATACATTAAAATGAATTTTTTATTTTGCTAGAGCACGTCATTTTATATTATAATACAAAAAATTTCCCACTTATATGTATTTTTTAGTTTTGAATAGCTTAATTTACTTTTAAGTACGCTTAACCCTGTCTCACAATAGGGAGATTTACCTTATTTACTCTCCCCGGTGTCGGGCCCACTCTTTAACTGCTTCTACGGAGCCTTACCACCGGTAGATCTCCGCGCTGTTTCATTTGGTACGAGCCATTTTTAATAACTGATTAAACTTAATACCGAACTGATGAGCAAAGATGATAGTGCAGAGTAATGTAAAAGATGAAAAAAAAAAATTGATAGCCAAATGTCAAACATAAAAATTCCGTAAGGTGGTTTGAATAAACAAGCATACATCAATTAGGGGTAAGTGTACCTATCTCCGTGGCACGTACTGAAAAGTCCAACTTAAATGCACCATAAAAAATGGTATACTAAAATTTTTTGGAATATTTTTTTTTTTTAATCTTACATAATCTCTTACGGAATATTAAAAAAAATANATTAAAATCTAAAAATTATTTTATTTGAAACATTTCTTATTTTGAGCAAGTAATCATCAGTTTTTCAAAATCCACGGTAATAGGGCAGAGCACGGAGATAGGTACACTTACCCCTATTTAGTGTAAAAGACAAATTTAATATAAAAAGTATTTACATGCCAAAATCATCCACCACAATCATCTTTTTGTTCTCTTGCTGAATATTTGGTTTTTCTTTGATCAGTACATACTAACAATTGTTTAACACCCATTACAATGTAACATCGAAATTCAAATAACAATTCTGGACACATCTCATTGTAATGAATCCATTATAAAAAAATCACTTGAGGTAGTACTGTCGTAAATATAAATAAAATTCATCATATTACATTATAAGTGCTCGAAAATGATCCAGTTAAATTTTTATGGACCTAGGGTGTGTAGGGAGGAAGTCATGGGTATTTTACTCTCATAAGTTTAATAACACGTAATCTTATGGAAGAATTCGGTTTATGTCGTGTTTCGAAAAACTGACCGATGATATGTTGATAAAAACTAATAGAGAAGAAGCCAAAAACGTAAATTACATTTTGATCACTTCAAAATATTTTTTAAGTGCCTGTAAGGTTTTTCCATTAGTGATTGAATAAAATTAAGAGGCTGAATGTTTTTTGATCAGTTACTTTCACTTTAATGATTTATTTAGTATATAAATGTAGTATATACATGTCATATTACAAAAATAAACTATGAAATCTTTTATTTAATCGAATTATGCCTATCACAATTATAATAGTTGTTGATAATAACCTGATTTATTTTGCACTTACGGATATAAACATTAGGATTTTTAAAATGATCTTTATAGGATCCATGATTCGAATTTAAACGGATTTCTCTTCCTCTCGTTTTGCCAGCACGACCAACCTGCACAAATCCTCGGCCCAATCTGATTCTATATTATATACTACAGTCTCGGCGAGCGTATATATATAGATATACCTATACACATGAACACTCATCTACGTGCATTTAAGTGGTATTGTTCGAGCGACCGATCGATCAACAATAATGCATAATGCACTAAATCTTTGACTGGATCTTTAAACCATCATTTTTAACAAAACTAAAACCGTGGCGACGAACTTTCGGCGGAGGTGTAAGGAAAAAAAGTATACGTACCACGGCCAAAAAGTGGGGCTACATCTGACCGCGCATTACCGGCCTCGCCTTCGGCTCGGCCGATAATATAGCGCGGTCAGTAATAGCCCCACTTTCTGGCCTAGGTACGTAATATACTATTAATTAGTACGGCATCGAAAGTACTACCTTAATCAAGCAATAAGTTAATTATGCATTTTTACTAAATTGTTTTATTTTTCAATTGTCATAAATAAGGGGAACTTGCTGAACGTAGGATGTTGAACCCATGTGTCCACAAATGCCATCAATATTTCTGTCCAAAATAATGTACGGGAGTACGACTACATTGTATGGAGTGTAAAAAATTTTAACCTTTGAAAGCTTGTCTGTTTCCACCACAAGCAGTTGATTAATCACCAGTAACCTATAAATTTGTTAAAATGTTAATTGTCATATGATGTAACAACTTTTTTAACATTTTTGGATTGTAACTTGTTAATTTCACGAGAGTGAACATTTTTACATACTTATAGTAAGTCTCAGACTCCGTGGCCGATGGTAACGACAATCCTTTTTCATAATTCTCAATATTCATTCCATCGAATGTTATTTTTTCCGGTAGTATTTCCAATACATGCATGCCCGCGTAAATTTTGACTGACACCTTATCTTTGATGGATTTAACGAATACGGCGTAAGTCATAAGCTCGTGGTCACCAGACAATAGAGTCCAGTTTTTCAAGTCCATTGGTAAGGTTTGGTTCAAATCGGTTATTACGTCATTCGCGTGTGCAATACATGGTCCTAGAATGTTGTAAAAGTAAAAATCACGAAACCCCCAAAATTTCAAATAGTTCTTACGAATTTGATCTTCTTACTTATTTCTCCTTTATAATAATCGATCAAAAAATTCGAGCTAAATCCAATATTGTCCAAAACAAGATCAGTTCTCTGGATTTCTGGATCCTCTGGCTTATACAGAAATGAATAAGTGAAATATGGGTTCATAATATTTAGGTTCCCGTAATTATCACTCATAGGATAGGTAGCAAGAATTTTGATAGTTCCGGGTTCCGTATGATTTGAACTGTATGATAAATACAGCATACGGTCGTACCGTAGGTAATCATCCAAAATTATTAATATAGCCAGAAATTCTTGAGGAATCTAAAAAAGGATTTAACAAAGATTATAAGACATTTGAATTACTTTTGAAAAGGAGATAATTTGAAAAATTACATTTTTATACCCGACGTCAATCGTATAATTTCTCATTGTGGTACATCTAACAGCTTCGTACAAGCAATTCCAATCGAAATATTGTGTAATATCTAAATCTAAAGAGTTTTTTGGGTTTTTAAAGCATGATCCAGGTTTTACGTTTTTAGCCATCTGTTCGATTTGTTCATCAAGTAATTCGCCCTTGATAGCAACCGTGACACCAGTGTGAGATGCATCAAAAGAGCAAAATTCGCTGTCAGTGTAACCCATATCGAAGGTAATTTCAGTATTAGTTTCTTGTTTTAACGCCATCGATTCAATGAAGAAATTCGGGTATTCTTTCAGTGCAGCTAAACAAATCTTTAAGAAACTTTTTTTACGTGACTGTACTATCTCGTTTCATATCTCATTCGTAATATTAATTATCAGTACCTTGTAATTTTTTTCTTCTTGCGTTCGTTTGGTCAATTGAAGTTTTACATCATTTACGAACAAAGATAGATCAGCATCGAAATTAAAGTCCCAGTAGGATACTGTGTCATTTGCAGAAGCTGCTTTTGTGTCAATAGATCCATCGACTCTCAAAGTTATTCTACCGTTATAATTTTTCATATTAAAACGCCAGTTAATTTCGATCTAATCACAAAAAGTGGAATAATCAGATCAACTGGTTAGTAATTCGTAATAAATACTAATACACGTTTTTTACATGAGAAGTTGGATGAATAGTTGAAGGTGATAAATTCAGACTTTTTCCGCAAGTACTTGCGTAAGGTGCATGTATGAAATTGAATAATGCGTGGTGCATCTTCAGCATTACTGTTGCCCATTCTTCTTTATCACTACGGATTATTAAATTTACTTTAACAAGTAAAGTTTTTAATGACCTTTTTGATATAGTTTTTTTTTTTTTTTTTTTTTTTTTAATCAAATATAAAACTTACACATTATTTTCTTTCGTATTGAAAACTCGAAAGATTTCCTCATACTCAATGGTGTATGGACGATGGGTTTCACAATCGTAAATACTCTGACTGTAGTCCAAACCCAATTCTTTTGAATGTACAACTTTCATGTAATTATGTTTGTACGATGGACCTTTCGTGATTTCTACCTGATTATTACATGTTGAGCAATAACTTTTTAAGATTCCATTAAAATCTCCACTGATTTCTACTCGATTGATTGTGTACGTATTGATACCGGCAACTGAAAATCTTGTTTTTGGATTCCGAGGTAGGGCTATTTTCCAATTATACGTCTTTAAATTCAAACTGATGGTTAGATCGGCAGGCAGAGATAAATGCATAGACACATCCCTCCGAACACATTGAAAAATACCAGCAAACGGATTGTAAAATTTCATTTCATACCTTCCGTGATGGTACATTTTTGCTTCGAATTCCAATTTCATTGCTACGATCGTTTGTAGTGGATAAATGTTTGGATTTACTTTCATGAACGACAAAGTTGGAAATTCTTTTTGAAAAATAACAGGAATTCCCATGTCTGTTGCAGTAACGATTTTGTGCTGATTAAAAAAAGAAAAATTCAACCACAACAAGTAGAATTTTTCCTTAACATCCATGAAATTTCTTGGTTTATAACTCGTAACGTATTTCTTTAGATAATTGGATAAACCGCTTTCGGAATAAACATCAACATTCGTCACGTATCCCTTATTAACCGACCAAAATTCGACATGAATGTGTTTATCGAGTAACTTGTGTCCGTAAGTTTGTCTCAATAAATTACGAACTTTTTCATCCGATATCTCATTAGGGGTTTGCGCGTCATCCAATTCATCTCGAAAGAGATTTTTAACCAAAGATATAATCATATTCAAGTTGACGCCATCAACGTTCCAATAGACCTACCAATGGAGCAAAATTCTTAAAATGAAATTATCTCACTTAAAAACCATACGATTAGTACTTACAGCAGAATCCAATCTTGATTTCAAAAATGTAGTAATCGTTTCGTAATACCCAAATTGCGGGATTCCAGAAGCTTCATTGATTCCTGTGGCAATTTTAAGCGTTTTCCCATAGCCGTACTTGTCATCGAAGTAATCAAACACACTGGCAGATGACAATGCCGAGCTGAAAACCTTTCGAGACTGCGTGAGTCGTAATACTTTTCTCGCCAAGTCGGAAATACCCTTGTTACACGGATCGGTGGATTCAGCTATATTTTTCATGGTGGTGTAATGGAAGTTGAACAAATGCTCATCTTGTTCGTCTGACATTATTGAATGAACTCTCATTAATAAATCCAAGTCAAGGTTTGGATTTCTCGGAACTAAAATTTCGTAAGCGGTTAATCGCAAGGAAAAGGGTTCCGAGTTGTTGGAGAGTATCTGCCAGAACGGATTGTTTTGCCGGAATTTCTCATCGCCATGAATAGAATTGACTACTGCCCACATGGCTGCTCTACGATATTTTTCTACATTGCGCATATGAGCCGTTACTTCGAATACATCCATTCCATTGATTATTGGCAATAGGTAGGCACTAATGTTCCCGACCTCAACATTCCTCATTGCCATCATGTACACGATTTTCGACTCATACGTTGGTTCATCTGCAACGATGTATAACCACCATAAATTATGACTTGAAAATTATAATGAAGAACATTGATTGGTATACATACGTTTTATGCGTTCGAAGAAGCTTTCGAGTTCAGATCTTAAGTACTCAGGAGCATTGTTGCCAACGTTTTTATACGCTTTATGTAACAATATTGAGTAAGACAGAACACCAGCGTGTACTATTTTTGTAGATTTTGATAATTGATGCAAATTCCGAAATTGAAGCATACTTTTGACAAATTCCTCATTTGGGTTTGATACGAACATGGGTAGATTAGTAAGCATGTCAACGACGATCGATTCATCGGGAAATTCATCGTTTGCGATCATATTTTTGGTGAAATTCCATGCGGCGTAGCTACCGGTGTGCGGGACCATTTCTAAGAACAAATTTCTGTGCAGCGAACCAACGAAGAATAGTTATCGTAATGCTCGTTTACTATTTTTTTGGTACAATATGCAAACAAACCTTATCATGTTCTCCTTTTCTGCATCTGAATTGAAATGCTTGTAAACCAAGTACATGGACTCGCTGTCCAAAGTAGCTATCGTGTGGTGTAGATCTAGTAGCAAGCCCTTATGCTCTGCATCCGTTTGACTAATATCTATTGGGTTCTCTTTTAAGCGATCCACTATGAGTATCAATAAATTCTTCACTCTGTCGATTTTATCGCCAGATTTCATAGCGTTGCGCCCAAAATAGTGTTCTCGTGATGCAACGACATCATGGTTGTTGAAGCTTATGTCATTTATGATCGGTGTGCTCTTAAAGTTGACGTCTGGAAGTGCAAGTTCAGATGCATTTATTACTTTTTCGAATTCGAAAGTTTGACTGGAAAATTACGTTTCATTACTTTTCACGAACATAAATTTTAAATGCCAATCAAATAATTTACGTACCTCGTCTCGATGTACTGAACCCCCGAACTTCGGTGCGAATAGGGCAAGTAACTCAATTTCTCGTGAGAAATAATTTTCTTGAGCAGGAAATAATCATCAGTAAGCTCGAACTGATATAATTTTTTGGAAAACGTAACAAAATCTTCCTGAAACCATGAAATGTGTTGAAATTAAACTTTATTAAAAAATTCAAGTAATTTATTTTTTTTTCATCAACATATTACCTCCGGTTTAATTTTACAATGCGCGGTTTTGACGTCATGGGCCTCATGCTGAACGTAATCACTGCAACTTTTGGGCTCGTAATATTTACGGAGGTAGTAAACCATCCTGCCGGCTCGCATCTCCCTACGAAGACTGTAGCTGACTTGGCAATGTCCACGAATGGTTTTCTGGTAGTAACAACCAAAGAGAACATTTGATATTTATTTGCTTATGTGCTCCCATCAGTTGTTACCTACCTCATTGGTCTGGTAACTCGTTGATCTCGTAAGCTTCTTTAAAGCTTCGGTGTTTCCTTGCACTTGTATTCCCATCAGCGAAATCAAGGACATCTTCATATTTTTAGACCAAACGGCTTCTTTCTCTTGAATCCTGATACCTCGTAGCTGCACATAATTTAATGTATGTCAGTGATTATACAAGATACACACGAATTGATAAAACAATTAAGTAAAACAACAACAATTCAAATAGTTATGTTTTAAATAATATTATAGCAAATTGACAAACATTATCAAGATTGTCGTAGACGAGAAGGACTGGCTCTTCAAAGTCCTTGACCGCGTCTCCCAGAGGCTTGTAATCGCCGTGAACCTTGCCATCTTCCGCTCCATTGTAAACCGTCGTCTCGACATCGTGGAACTTGAAGTAGTCAGAATCGCTACTCTCCCGTTTGTGGATTAATCTCCCTCTGACTTGTAATTTCGACGCATACGAACTGAACTCATTTTGTCCAGCTTTTACTTCTGCAGAGTAATTGTAAACGTGAATTTTTCCCTGTGGCACGTGAACTGTAAAAAAAAAAAAAAAAAAAAAAAAAAAAAAAGTGAGTATTTTTTGTTTTTTAATACTATTTTACGTGCAATTGAGATACGCACATAATCTTTGAGAACCTCGAGATGATTCCAATTGGCCTGGGTAGCCTTCGGTTGATGTGCAAAAAAATAGTAGCAAACCTGAAATTCAATGTAAATTATTTGGTTCTGTTTAAATGATGGAAAAGATTAATATTGTGCATAATGTGATTACAAACATTTCAAAAAATGTATTACTCATCAAATAGGAGCATTAAAGTAAATGGATGCAAGTATGAAAATTAAAAAAAAAAATCTCATTTTCAAATATAAAAAAAGCAAAATCAAGATATTACATCTGTGAAACGCACCAGATAAAACCGACGTAACACTCGAAAACGATTATCCGCTCGCTTGAATTTGCTCAAGATCGCTTCTCTGGATCCAATTTTTCTGTGCTCACTGTACGTGACCCGTAACGCGACGATTAAGTTATCGCTCCAAAAACTTGGACTTGGGGAAAAAAAAAAAAAAAGTTCAACTTTAATCACGAATTAAAAAAAAAAAAAACAGTACAGATAAAAAAATGTATTAAAAACTCATGTTGACGTTGGCGGCTGAGGAGATAAGGGATGGGGCTTACCGACAACCGCTTGCACACCGGCGACGCCCATGTTTACGACTGCTGGCGCAGCGGCTCCGTGGACCCCTTTTTATACGGAGGGTACCAATTCTCGCATGTATGGGTCGAAGATCTGGAAAAGAAAAAGAGAAAGCGCGATAACCCTGCCGAGACACTCGCTGAATACGGCAATAAATTAATGCTTTCACTATAACTTTTTATTTTTGCAATACCATTTTACGTATCGGTGGAAAAATTTCCTTTTCATATTTTCCTTTGAGTTAATCAGTTTTTTTTTTTTTTTTTTTTTTTTTCTACTAGACAATATGGTTGTGTCGAGAGGCTATCGCTAAAACGAGTTTTCAATTGTCTTCGATTTGATGTAATTTCTTGTAAGATTAATGAATCGTTTTAAAACATCGTGCACAAGTCATGTATTTTTTTCACGCGTATGTCAAAGTTACAACTTAATTAAGTTCTACACTTAAACGTCCATAATATAGTACACGGTGAAAATTGACGTTTCAATAACTATTTAAGTTTAAAAAAAAAAAAAAAACATTGTGAATTTTTAACCATTCTAATGGGTGTGGAAAAATTAATTTTTTCCAAAAAANGAGTTCTTTGATGCCTAATAACTTTTATCTTCTTTACTAATATAATGCTTCCATTTACGTGTTTGTCGTTTAATATACTTGATTGTGAAAATCTTTTTCACTTTAAGCGTCATACTAATGTAACTCCAAAGGAGTGCATTGTATTTAATGGCCACATTTTAAAAATTTCTAGGCGACGTATGGCTGTGATGACAAATACTCGCTCAGCAGGCTCCGAATTGAGCATGCAAACAGGCTCGACACCAGTGAACACGACGATGCCCTCGGGCGTAACGATGAAGCCAGGCATAAGTCCAACGTCACTGCCGTCGCCACACCATCAGCCTGGTATCGGCATGAAACCCGGTACACAGACGCCTCCTGCTCACGTTCTCCAGGTGGTTAAGCAAGTGCAGGAAGAAGCAGCAAGACAGCAAGCACCACATGTCGTCGGTTATTTGCGAAAATTTGATAAAATTTTATTTGTTCCTAACTTTATCAGGAGCTACTGAAATTCATCGACGTTTAAAAAGAAACTCATTAACAATTAAAAATATTTTGATCGAGTTTTTCATGATCTCTAATTAACAATTCATAACAATCTTATGAAAAAATGTAAATATTTCTCTTAAAATTGATCAAATTACTTCAAAAATTTCATATTTATTTGCGTAAGAGATCACTTGATCATTTGACCAAAATCTTACGTATACTCATAAAAATAACGTTACACTTTCATACCCAAATCAAAAAAAGTATAGGAAAAATAATCCAAAACGTATTTTTGGATGGGTTGAATTTATAGTTATCAGCAATATTTAATTCAAACTGCAAACATGCGCTGATAATAAACCATCGGTCATGAGTTTATTTGATAAGTAATTGATTGATCAAAAACTCCTCAAGACAACTTTTAATTTAAATACTTGTGATGATAAAAGTTTGTATATTAATAGTTGCATGAGCAACTACTCTTTTCCAGTCCTCACGGGCATTTTAATTGATATGTGTTTATAAAAACACGTCGACCTGATGTTGAAATTATATACAAACTTCTCTCAGTGCAGATAAAGAAATGTAAAATCCAAAAGATAACGGTGACAATAATTTTTGTAATGAGCTACTAATTTAAGTTTATTCTTGTTTATGTAGTTGAAGTGAAAAGAATTTGAAAGCCATGTTTCATATTAAATGTAGCTGCAAGTATTTGCCAAAACATTCACACGATATTAATAATATTTTATATTACAATGTCATGCAATAAAGCGTACTTATGTGATCAGTTATAATTTTTTTTTGTCTCACAACTGTCAGCTGTCAAAAAGCTATTAATTAGAAGCGCGTGAGATAAAAATGCTCTGCTTAGTACGGCTTTGTTCAAGATACACTTAATTCGCATTCGTAAATTTCTTGATACGCTAGTATTGAATTTCTCCAAGCGATGTACGTTATTATCAAATGTTTCAGAAGTAAACAACTTATGTAATTTTTACGTGCGAAACTATCGATCGATTTATTAATTAATGTTTCGATATTATGTAAATTGAATGTTTTATTTAACTTGAAAGCTTTTAATTTTCTCAATGTAGAAAAAATAGTTTATTGTAAGGTTTTACTGTTCTGAAAAATCGTGACTTTATGTAAAAGCGATGACATTTCACAGTTTCAGGTTTCCTTCATTTATAAAAGCCTGTAAAACTGATAATGTCAGTAATCTGCAATTCCTATTTTTTTTTTTCAAGTATTACAACATTTTATAAAACCTGTTTCAACTTCATGCCAACGTTCAGCGTTGTACTGTTACATTATAGTTTTAATTTTCAAATAGTATTTATATCTTATCGCGACCATTGGAGGTCGCTCGTAATTTGCACGAGGAGACAAAAGTTTCAAAAAATTGTACAAAAAAAACGCAATTTTCCGTTATTGATACTCATGACTGTAAAAAAAATTTGCTGTTGGACACACGAAAATCGGCGGTTTTATATGACATCTCTTATCCAAAACTACAACAATTACGGGATTAAAATTGCCAGAAATCGGCATACGCTAATGCTAATAAAAAAACTTGAAAAAATGACCAAACGTCCGAAACATTTGTGAACCAATACTTGAGCCTCGTGTATATAACAATCGCACGTGCGTCGTATCAGTTTAAGCGCTTGAAATTAGCCGTAATTACCGCAAATTCTCGCCGATAAGTGCCCCAGTCGAATGCCACGTGTCACCCCGTCGCCGCAGTTTCGCGCACAGTCGCCATGACGTGGATACCGCAAGACGTATCCTCGATTTGCGGGCAAAATTCAACGTCCCTGCCAGCATGTTCGCCGGCTTACTTGGCATTCGTATCGTTTATCGTTCAATACTTTGGAAAATCGAACGACAACTACGTCGCCCGGAGCGATCCGAAAGGACCCGAGGAATACGACTTTATCGTCGTCGGGGCGGGAAGCGCGGGATGCGTCCTGGCCAACCGATTGAGCGAAATCACCGGCTGGAAAGCGAGTATTTTTTTTTATTTTACTCTTCTTTTGTTTTAATGGCACTAGGGGTGTTATTTAACACACGCGAATCTTGTATCAGGTGCTGCTGTTGGAAGCCGGTCCCCAGGAGCCCCTGGTCGCGGATGTGCCGTCTTTCGGGACGTTTTTGCGATCGAGTAACATTGACTGGGCCTACCGCACGCAGCCAGAGAAAAAATCCTGCCGATCGAAGAGAGGACGCAGTTGTGGCTGGGCCAGGGGCAAGGTATATTGTTCTCCTTCCTCGCGTCTACTGGGTCGAGTACAAACAAAATTAAAAAAATAATCATCCCACCAAAACAGGTAATGGGCGGTTCGAGTAGTATAAACTATCTGATGTACATAAGAGGTCACCCGCGGGACTACGACGATTGGGCCGTGGACAACCCCGGCTGGTCCTACCGAGAGGTGCTTCCTTACTTCAAAAAATCGGAAAATAACCGCAGCCCCGAGGTATTTTACCCCCAAAAATCGTCTTGTATCGCAACATCGTTTCAAATCAAATTTATATGTATGTATAATCACCCGATCGGCAACGAAGATAGTTAGAGGCAGTCCCGGGTACCACGGGACGAAAGGCGAGCTGACGGTCGAGTGGTTTCCGTACACAGACCCAAACTCCGAAATATTGATCAGGGCCTGGAAAGAAATCGGATACGGCAAAATCGACGCCAATGGAAATCGGCACGTCGGCTATCTCAGGTACCAGACCACCTCGAAGGACGGCCAGCGACAGAGCACCAACGCGGCTTTCATACGGCCCATCGCCAACGACAGGTCCAACCTGGTCATCAGGACTCAGGCGTACGTTACCAAAGTTTTGATCGACCGGAGGACCAAAAAAGCCACTGGGGTCGAATACGTCCTCACGAACTCAAGGTACCTTCACACACGACGCTACGTGAGATCGTGACACTTTTCAATTGGGAATAAACCGATGTGCTCTTTGACTGTAATTGCGCAACTGTACGATCGAGGATTCATATGTATATATATATATTTTTTTGTTTCCCCGAACACTAGCGACACGAGCCCCAAAAGAGCCTTGGCAAAGAAAGAGGTCATAGTGTCGGCCGGAGCCATCAACTCGCCAAAGCTGCTGCTCCTGTCGGGAATCGGTCCGACCGAAGATCTGCGGGAATTGGGAATCGACGCGATCCAGGACCTGCCGGTCGGCAGGAATCTCCACGATCACCCGCGAATGGACGGGCTGACCATAAAGTTGAGCGAGAAAACGAGGATCCTGGCTAGCTTGGACCAAATGAAAAACGACTCCCTGGAGTACTTGAAGACCCAGAGGAACGCGCTGTCAGCCATGGGCGTGCTGTCCGCCGGTTGCTTCGTCAAAACCGACCTGGAAAGGATCCCCGACTACCCGGACATACAATTCACGTTCGACGGAACCAATGTCAAGGTGAGGGATTGTTACGCGCGTATAAGGTGTAGTTATTAAAAAAAAAAAAAAAAAAAAAAATCCTCTGGCGCGTTTAGGACCACGTTGCCATGGCCGAAGAGGCGGAGGGCCTGGCCGCGCTTCCGTTGGCTTACTACGACGGCATCAACATCAGCCCGGTACTGATTGGGCCGCGCAGCCGAGGCTACCTGAAACTCAACGGAACCGATGCGACTTGGGGGGCCCCGTTGCTCCACCCGAACTACTTTGGCGACGATCACGACTTGAGGACCATCGTCGCGGGTATACGCGAGGCCAGAAAACTCTTCGGCACGAGGGCTTTCAAGGAGAACGGGTACACCTTGCTGGCCGAGCCTCTGCCGTCGTGCAGGCAGCATCGGTTCGACAGCGACGGTTACTGGAGGTGCGTCATTATCGAGTACACCAACACGATTTACCATTTTGTGGGGACGTGTAAAATGGGCCCGAGAAGCGACCCGAGTGCCGTGGTCGATCGGTACCTCAGGGTCCACGGGGTGGGCTCCCTGAGGGTGGTCGACGCCTCGATCATGCCCAAAATCACAAGAGGCAACACCAATGCCCCGACCATCATGATTGCGGAGAAAATCAGCGATGACATTAAACATTATTATCACCGCCACTGTCCGGGTGCGCGTGGCAAGCTTTGTTTCTTTGGTTCTTGAGCTTTTACGCGGTTGGAGATCATAAATGTTGAGTGTTGTGGCGGTTTGATATACCTAAGTCCTGGGATTCCATAAAATGGAAAATTAAGTTAAATACTTTGTGGGTGCGATTAGAATATTAATTATTTACATGTAAAATAACAAATAACGTCAATAGAGATGTCAACGTAAGTTTTTTGCGATAAGTACAAGTGAAAGTAGTCCAGTAGTTGGTGGCTGATGAAGAAAATTTTAGATATAATGTGCCAAGTCATGGTTAAGAGAGAAGTAAGGACTTTGTTACACAAGGTTGATCTTAATAACATAGTGGTGATACATCAATGTGGCACTTGTTGTAGTAGTAAAGACGTATTCGTGAATACAAATACATATTATACATATTGACTTGATAAGTCTCCTAAAAGAGCAAAACCTCGTCTTGTTAAAATAAACTTTCTTGCAACAGCAATTGCCATTGATGATGTATCATCGCACTACCGAGGAAAAATTTCCTCGCTTGAAATATCATCATTGATAGCAAAGCATTCGTTTGTGGCGAAGTTTCGTTGCGCATTTAATTATGATTTGTGTCCAAAAACGTTGCATGATAACATTTTTCGATAGAAAATTTCGGAAAGTAGAGATTTCTGGAATGTTTTTCGTCCGAAAATTTGTTTTACGCATTACTGTATAGTTTCTGTGTTGTCACTTATAAAAAATGATTACTATAGCTTCGATCCACGATGTTGCTCTTGGATATAAAGCACTGGTAAATAGTTGTTAGCATTAATTTTACGACAAATCTTCGTATCACACAAATCTTTTTATTATTGATAAAACGTGATGTATGTACAATGCTTACATAAATAAAACTAATACACAAAAAAAATTCAATATATCAGTGATAAACGTCGTAACGAAAGTAACCGTTTATAATAATACAGGTATAAATATATATGTACAGATAATTTAGAAACATTTCAATTATATAAACGGTTGATTGATATATTCAATGTCAATTACAAATAAGTCCAATTCCTACTGAATGGTAAAAAGTCCTGGTAGTTCAAAAATATGCCTTACCATGTGTATCAAATTACTACACACTTTTGTTAAAAGTCGACCATTCACTTAATTTTACAACTAACGACACATTTAAATTAAAAGTATAGACAAGTGTAAATCTTATGTCTAAACATTAATCAATAGCAGCATAAAATTCTTTCATCAACATTTACACAAGTTGTCTGGTGCAAACAAGAGTCCTTACAAGGACGACTTTTTATTTATCGACTAGGCTCAAAGTAATCAACAACTAGCCTCGACGGATTTTCCAGTAAAAATTTTCTGACCTCTTCTAGAGCCCTACTTCTGTGCGATATCTTGTTTTTTTCTTCCTTTGGCATCTCAGCGTAGGTGAGGTCTTTGCCGTCCGGCTGAAAGATGGGATCCCAGCCGAAGTCTTGAGGGCCTCGAGGATAGACAATTTGCCCATGGGTACATCCTACAGAAATAAATGCAATCAGTACTTATTCTATTTCGAATTTTGTTTGTAAATCCTTTCACTAGTTAAATTATAACACACACTTACCCTGGAATAATAAGACTGGATCGTCGGGTTTTCCATCACAGTAAGCAAAGGTGCAAATTGCTTGTGCTCCCTTGTCTTCGAAGCCAACGAGCATCTTGTGAAGACCTTCAGGGCCGACTTTATCGAGGAACCACTTGATGTAGGGACCGGGCAAACCGTGAAGGGCATCAAAAGCCAGACAGGTGTCCTCAATGATGACCGGACCATGGATTATGCTTGCCGCCGCCTTGCATTTTTCCCGGCATATGTCGTTGAGCTCGCCCTGATATTCCGGAAGATCGATGGTGCAATGCGTCACCTGCTCGCCTAATTTCTTGCCGAGTATCGCTTTAAATTCCAGGAGCTTTTTTGTGTTTCCCGTCACGAATGTTATTTTTCGAGACATTGTTGACTGAAAAATAAAATATAAACCAATTGTTAATTAATAATTAGATTACTTGTAATAATATCGATATTTTGACTTTGACAGTAAAATACCATAGTTGAAACACTTGTTTTAAATTATAATTAACCTCCATTTCTTATAACTGCGTGGTTTTTGCAAGTAAAAATGCAGACAAGAATTGTTTTACTTAAGAAAAAACGATATTACAGATATATACCTGTGTATGACGTTCTGGTGAAGTTTACAATTTAAGTAATGAATTATTTATTAATTATTGCCATGAAGCAATAAATATTTATACAGTAAAATAATATAATGCATTCATTTCAGAACAAAATTGTAATCAACCAAACTGACAATGAGACAAATGTATTCTTTTTTTTACTGCGGTCAGTGGGGGATGAGAATTTGCACAGTAAGTAAAACTCTCAAGTTGCCATATACGGTATATAATGATGCTGTTCATACGAGTACAATAAAGGTTTTTGTTTCTGCAGTAATTATCTACTATGTTCTACTTTAACTTAAGAAAGTGATAAAAAGTACATTAGTGAAACACATGCATTGTTTTACTAATAACTGTTCAAACTATTTATACCAATAGTACATATTCCGAACACTGCAAAAATTAAATCTGACTTATAANAAAAAAAAAAAAAAAAAAAAAAACAGTTGCTCGGAATAAAAATAAGAATCAGTAGCGCGCGTAGCGACCGTAGTAGTTGGCTGCACGGCCACCCTCGATGGGATTGCAGGAGAAGAGTGCGTCCCCTCGGGGTAACCCTCGGCGCACCTGAAAAATAAGTGATAATTTTTTGTTTTATCGATTCATTGATACCCACGTATTGAATAATTTACATAAATTTTATCACTCTTAATGTATTTTTTTTTTATACCTCCTTGATACTTAGTGTGTATTTCTTTTAGTATGATTAATAATACTTACTGGCACACTGCAATGTGTCTTCTAGGTGTACAATTGGCATTTAAACCGCACTCACGGCCCGTGCACGGGTTCTGACAGGCAAAGTTGATGCACGCCTGATTGTCCGGGCACTCGTTGTTGGACAAGCACTCGCCCCTCTTACAGCTGATAACATAATATGTCATACATCACACAATATTTTCTCAGATATACTTTAATCAGATCAAATTGCACACAATGCAATATATATACACGCGTGTACCTGATTAGCGCGTTTCCAACATAGCCGTGGGGACACCTGCACACCGGGCGCTTCTTACCCGTGTTGTCATGGCCCGGTCGGCACTCGGCGTTGGCACCGCACGGATTCCCGCTGCACAGGTCCTCTGCAAGTCAATGAACATTGTAGCCCAAAAGAGTTATTGTTGTTAACGGGGGCATTTTGCATAATGTACGCGCTAATATATTAATTTAATACACGTATGTATGTATATATTATACCATCGGTGAAGGGCCGACAGAAAACGAAGGGGTCGCCAGTTTTGTCCCTGGGACAACTGCAGACGGGCGTTACGTCGCGGAGCTCGCAATTGGCGTTGGTGCCGCAGGTGCCCTCGCAAGGATCGACGCATTTCTGATAGAGGCAGGCAGGCTTGCCGGCAGGACAGTTGGAGTGCTGGGTGCACTCGGGCTGGCAGGATATGAGCGGGTTACCCAGCCAATTCTGCAAGAATGAGAAAAAAAAATTTAATGGTTATGTATTTTACGTATGTAATGTATATGTGGTTTAAAAGATGTGTATGATGATGATGATGGTGACCTTGGGACAGGCACAGTTGGCTCGGTGGTTGATGACGTTGCACTCGGCGCTCTCGGCGCATACGGAGGCGCACGGGCTCTCGCAGCGAAAGTCCTTCGAGCAGTGCTGGTGCTGGGGACAGTCAAAGTCGGACTCGCACTCGTGACGGCAGCCCTCGAGAGGACGTTCTCGGTATCCCGACAAACAAGAGCACACCGCCACGCCGTTCTTGACTTCGCACTTGGTGTTGGCCCCACAAGGATTTGGGCTCTTGCACGGCGCCTCTGTTTGGGAAATCATCATGAAATTTACTTTTACGCCAGGGAGTAAATGTATGTAGTTGTTTATAACATTGAGAAAAAAATAAAAGAAAAAAAAATGTACTTGCCAGGGTCGTAGACGCAATCGTGCAGAGGATTGCCCGTGTGACCTGGAGGACAGTTGCACACCGGTATGTGGTTGATCGTCTGGCAGAGCGCGTTTGTGCCGCAGGCGTAGGTACACGGATCGATGCATCGGTTCCCGCTGCAGGTGCGGCTTCCAATGCAATCCTCGTTTACTGCATTTTCGGGGACAACACAAATATTTTATTTCTTTTATTTGCAGGATTTTTCATCCCCATTGATTCCCGTTAAAAATTTTAAAATTATATTTTAGTATTGGTAAAGTAAAAAAACATATACGCGCTCGGTTAATGATTGTTGATCAAAGTGACCATGCACACCTTTTATTTAATTGTACTATTTTTCTTTTTTACTCGCATTTGTTTTGTTTTCAGAAAAGAAACGAGTTAATCGGTATAGTAGTTGTTCGAATCGTAATAGAAGAAGATAAAAAAAATAAAATAAATTGTGAGAACTAGTCAATAACACGATCCAGAAATGTGTGATGAAAATATTACGAAATAAGTCTCGATGAGGAACCAAAAAAGGGGCTACGTGACCTTGCGCGTTCGCCACGCGTAATAATGTAATCGTTTGCCATGCAATTATGGTACATACAAGTGAGCTTGATACTCCACTTGTATGTACTATATTTCCGTAAATATATATTATGTATTATGTATCGACTGTATAGTGTATCTTATTCGTAAATCCATTTACGTATCCATTAGCTCATTTTACAAAAAGATTGTAAACTTAGGGTGAGATTACATGGAGTCTGGCAGTCTGCAGACTGGCAGAATCGCACTAAGTTTAAAATATGTTTCAATACTAATATTTAAAACCTGTTACGTAAGCAAAGAAATAATTATCGTAATACATTTGCATTTCTGTATTAACTGATATTTATGAAAAAAAAGGCGACGAAAAACGTTTTGTCACAGTTACATATTGTTATACATACCAGGTTACATCAGTGACCCTACTGACCGACTGTGCGATGTTAACATAAATCTATAAAAAAAGTTATAAAATAATATTTGACACGTTTTATTGTAAATGAAATTGATTGTAACTAAGCTTTTATTCTGTTATGACAATAATTACAATTTTTTCTTTATTTTACTAAATTATTCTGAGATGTTATAATTTAAACATAATTTAAACTTAGCGCGATTCTGCCAGTCTGCAGACTGCCAGACTCCATGTACCTAATCTCATCCTTACAGTCTTAAGCCTGTAAGCCACACCTATGGCGGTTGATTTAATTCAAACTGATGTTAACTGATTACCGATATAAAATGATTTAAACAAGGAAATAGACACTTTATCTATGATAAAACTATGTAACGTGACTACATTATAAGGTTAGAACGTCTTTAAGGCATCCAATGAAAAATTTCTACAATTCATGTTAATACAATAATTTCGTCAACATAACCTCTTTATTTAACGACTCAGCGTTAGCAAAATTTTTTTAAGTTTTGGTGGCTAAATATCTTTTCAATATTATAATGCAATCACGTAACATAGTTTTGTTACGAACAGGACGCCTATTATCTTGTTTAAAACAATTTATATCAATATTGAGTTAACGTCAGTTCGAATTGAATCACCCGCCATAGGTTTGGCTTACAGTCTTAAGACATTCAGACACCCATGTACAGGCTCCCTTATTGAACACTTATAATAAGCGTTTTTACAACTATATACGAAAATCGTACAATTTAATTAAAAGTTTCCATTAACTAGTAAAATTTTTCAAATAAAACTAAGCGATATTAATTGAAAAAAAAAATCATAATATTTACCCAAACGAGAAGCTTATCAATAAATTTATGGGCACTAAGTAGAGCTTAATCTAGTGCACATTTTGCAAAATCTTATCCATCTCTCTCGATTTAAATATAATACTTATTATATTATAACTTATAACTGCATGATTATAAAATCACACTGCATATATACCTATATATCGTATAAAAATATATTTGCATCACATAGCAGCCGACAACTTCAGACCTCATGCCCATTAGCGCAGGCCATCAGTGGCCCGCTGTTGCAGCATCTCGTCATCGTCATCATCGGAGTTTTCGGAGCACGAACAAAATTTACGATTCGTAAATATACTCTCACGCCTACGCTTTACTTGCATTGTTTATATATAAGTACATTTACATATACGAGCAAAGATACGATCTTCTGTATATCCTGTATATAAGAAGTGGTCGCTGAAAGCGACATACACGCACGTACAGGTGAGTGTGAGTGACTGTCCGAGATTCAACATTTCAAAAAATGCCGAGTCAAGAGGTCGTCACGACAAAAGTCGTGGTCCATCCGCTGGTATTGCTCAGCGTAGTGGACCATTTCAATCGTATGGGAAAGATCGGTAATCAGAAGAGAGTTGTCGGTGTGTTGCTGGGCAGTTGGCGGGCCAAGGGTGTCCTGGATGTGTCCAACAGCTTTGCAGGTTAGGTTTAACGCCAGGCCCATCTCTGGTGCCTTTTGTTTTTTTTTAAATTAAAATGCGCTTGTTTTTGCAACAATTAACTGCAATTCTTGATGAATCGAGAGCGTTTTTTTTGTAAGTAAAGCTTGGAATCTGATTAATGTTCTCTTGTTGTTTTCAGTGCCCTTTGATGAGGATGATAAGGACAAATCTGTGTGGTTCCTTGATCATGACTATCTGGAAAACATGTATGGAATGTTCAAAAAAGTCAATGGTATTTTTTGACAGATCACTTGTTTTCTCTGGAGATTAACTTTGGCGTGGACCGAAATATTAAGTTTATTATTCATGTTTACTTTTAGCTCGTGAAAAGGTAGTTGGCTGGTATCACACAGGACCTAAACTGCATCAGAATGACGTTGCGATCAACGAACTGATCAGAAGGTACTGCCCTAACTCCGTACTTATCATCATAGATGCAAAACCAAAAGATCTTGGTCTCCCCACAGAAGCCTATCAGGCAGTCGAAGAGGTTCATGATGTAAGTAAAATTCAACTTTAAAATTTGTTTAATCAATTTTTTATCAATACTGTACTATTTATTATTTCATGCAATGAAGGATGGCTCACCAACATCTAAAACGTTTGAACACATCCCAAGTGAAATTGGAGCAGAGGAAGCAGAGGAAGTAGGTGTTGAACACTTGCTCCGAGATATCAAAGATACAACCGTTGGTACACTAAGTCAAAGAATCACAAATCAACTACTAGGTTTGAAAGGACTACATGCACAAATAGAAGAAATCAAGAATTATCTTTTAAAGGTATCCGTTATTTTTCTTTACTTGGAAAATCCCTAATATTTTTAGTTTTCTCTATATTTTAAAATAATTTCTTATAGGTGGGAGATGCTAAGTTACCAATAAATCATCAAATTGTCTACCAATTGCAAGACATATTCAATCTATTGCCAGATATGACACAAAATACATTTGTCGATTCATTATACGTGAAAACAAACGACCAAATGTTAGTTGTATATTTGGCTGCATTGGTAAGGTCTATAATTGCTCTTCACAATTTGATTAACAATAAGTTAACGAATCGTGATGCAGAAAAAAAAGAAACAGACAAAAAGGATGTCAAAAAAGAGGAAAAAAAGGATGAAGAGAAGAAAGATGAAAAGGAGAAAGCCAAAAAGTGAAGTGTGACGTGAAACGATATTTTAAAACAAACAAAAAAAAATCAATTTTTCATAAGTTTTGCACTTCTCTATGGACTACTAATAAAATTAACTGTGAAGACTTGTTGGATGAAGGATTAATCCTCGTCGCAATATTTGTACAGATAAATAAAAAGAAAATACTGACGTATAATATTACGTATTTAGCAAGACTAACATGCAAGTAACAAAAAAAAAAAAACATATTTTTAAGTGGTAAAAGCGTTGTTCTTTGTGCTCTTCAGTATAAGAGATTGATATGTATTTTAGAATAATTTGTTTCCTTTTTTTAAGTTGATTTCATTCAATATACATATTTAAAATAAAACTTTTTTATTATTATAATTTTCTGTGTGGAACATCTTTTATCTAGTGAGCCATTTTGCGAGACTAAGGTTGCCTGGTATGGTTTTTTCCTTTATTCTCGTGTTGTGAATGCGATTGTTCCAACCGCTTTTTGTAAAATTATACCTGAGAATTCTTTAAATAGCAGAGGATAAGCTAAAATCAGCGTAGTGTTCTTAGCATGTTAAAACAGTACTCAAATAAATTTTTTTTGTTATTTCACTTTTCTTGTTTTTTTGTGACTAATTGTTGAGAAAAACTTTCATAAGTTTCACAGCAAAAGATAATTACGCGTAAGTGAATTGTATCACATTTCATATTACTAGATTTCTAATCTTTATGTTTTGCGTGTATACATATATATATATACGTACAGTACAATCTCTGTACGAGTAGCAGAAGCAGACAGACAAGTGCACACACTATACTCGATTATTGAAAGTATGTAACCATTCAGTTGCGGTTTGCTACAAAAACATAAATGAGTGCGAAGTAAATTGACAAATTTACGTATTCTACACACACATGTACTTGTCAACAAATTGTTATCTGTGAATTGCACGTATGAAATAAATCTCTTGAAGAGAAAAAGCTTGCTTTTCAACTTTTTCAAGCATGGCTGCAGCCGGACGCAGGTTATCGTCGGTGCTCATAAAAAAATGTGATTAAACTACTTGATTTACGTTTAATTTGTAAAATAGATAATAGTAAAGATGCCAGTTTACAGCATCGTTTATTTAGTTTTAGGAAGCAGGGTCCTTCTGTCCAGTAATTCAAACCTCTGTGCAACAACACCGATCTCGATTCGTCGATTATCAACCCAAACTCAACCTAACATCATCAAAGATGACAAAATCAGTAGTAATAGAGGTAAGATAAATAATAAAACGAAATGTCATGAATCTTTAAACTGATGGAGTTCCACTTGGCTTGCAGGAACAGATGATTCTGAAATAGATCCACTGAAGCACCCGGACTACTTTCAAGTACACAAATTGTTTACAGTTAAAGATTTGTTTGACGCGAGAGTTCATTACGGCCATAAAGTTGGCACGTTAGATGAAAGGATGAAACCCTTCTTGTTTGGATCTAGACTGGGTTGCTTGATATTTGATCTTGATCAGACCGCCGAACTCCTGAGACAAGCACTCAACTTTACAGCTCACATTGCCTACAATGACGGTATCATACTCTTTCTCTCGAGAAACCCACAGGTGACGCACATTGTTGAAAAAACGGCCATGGAGTGCGGAGAATATTCCCACACGAGAAGGTGGAAGGGAGGCACATTCACCAATTCGACCAAAGAATTTGGAGCAGTAACCAGGTTACCAGATCTCTGCATATTACTCAATACTTTGAACAATGTTATGCTAGAACACCGCGCTGTCAGTAATGCCGCTAAAATGTGCATACCCACTGTTGGAATCGTCGATAGCAATTGCAATCCTAATCTCATAACTTATCCTGTGCCTGGTAACGACGATACACCTTGTGCAATTGAACTTTATTGTAAATTATTTAAGCAAGCCATTTTATTGGGTAAGGAAGCTCGAGCGAAAAAACTTAGTAAGCAAACGTAAATTTTAATCATTACAAAACAAAACAAACTTATAAACACAACTATTAGTCTGTACAGGTTTCTTTTTTTTTTTGTACCATGCTCATTTTATCACAATGTAAATATGGCTGAGATTTAATTCATTAAATGGGTGTGACATGTATTTTGGCATAATGAGTTGATTTAATTACTCTTGTACGGTTACTGTGACTTTGGAATCCCTTATTTTCTGTATGACACTTGCTCCCACGAATGGCATGAAGCTGGAATGATAAATATTTACTTGAATAAGTTTTTATTTTTATTTGTAAATTAAAAATGCACAACAATACGATACTTACAACGAACTCAAGTTGGGGTAATATTTGACTGCATATGTTAGTTGAAGACTGGTGGCATGACCAATCCATACTTCATCTAGACGATTTGCCAGAGCTGAACCAAACAATTTGGCGCAACGAGCTGCAGATAGCTTATTTGAAGCAATTTCAGTCTGTTTTCCATATTTCTAGACGTGAAAAATTACACAGTAATTAACCAAGATCTAATAATTATTAAGGAGCAGAAGTAACCCTTACTTCTCCAACATTTTCGGTAAAGCTTTCAGCTAAAAAGTCAGTTTGTATAGGTCCGGGGCACACAAGAGTCACAGCTATATTCTGATTCATTTTCTCCATCCTCAAACAGTCGAAATATCCCTGAAATTTTCAATTAAACAACTTTTAAGAATAACTAAAAGTAGTTTAACACAATAGCCTCCATTTACATGAATAGCGTGTTTTGATCCTGTGTACGATGCAGAAAACGGTACACCCAATATACCAGCCAAACTCGAGGTCACGGCCACATGTCCGCTACCCTGACGATTGAACTGTTTGATTGCAAGTCTGCTCAGAGATACAACGGAAAATGTATTCAAATCAAATGCCTCTTTATCCACTGCAATATCAATGTCTTCCCAGACGGCTCGTTGACTTCTCCCCGCATTGTTGACAAGTATGTCGAGCTAAACGTTAAATGAATAAAAAATGCACAGGGGACCAATACTGTCTGTCAGCCAAATGATACCTACTCTACCAAAAATAGACATTGCGTTATCAAAGATCCTCTCATGAGACCCAATGGATCGTACATCGAAAACCAACACCTGCACATCGTGATCCTGCAAGTTTGGATTTGCTATGGCAAAAAAAAAACAAAAGGAAAATTACTTTTAATCATAGGTACACCTGAAAGCACGATTGAACTTGAAACTCATGGCCTACCAACCGGTTAAACAGTTGCTCTTGACTTTGTCCAACTCGACCTCTCTCCTCGCTGACAGAATAATCTTACAGCCTCCTTTGGCCAGCGTGTATGCCAAGTGTTCTCCAATACCACTGGAAGCCCCGGTTATCCACACGACTTTGCCGCATAGCGTATCTGCAGACGAGAGCGTTTTTTAGTCGTTGATATTTATGAAATCAACTTTTTTTTTTTTTCTTTCTTATCGTTTTTGCATGCAAGAGTGCTACGTGGCTTCTAAAATCACCATGCGAGATAAAAAAAAAAAGCTTCACAGCAATTTATCAATACTAAACGGATTATACATCAGAAGAAAAAAAAAAAAAAAAAAAAAAAAAAAAAAAAAAAAAGGTACAAAAATGTTTACCTACGGAATTTCCAAATTTATCATAGAAAAATAATTTAATGTCGCAGTCCAAAAATCTAACGACGACTAGGTAGACGAGATGATAGAGCAAAAAGCAAAATCCTATGATCCCAAAGAAGACCATCGTGCCCGTCTTATAATTATATATATATATATATATATATATATATATATATCTACCGCTGCTGTATATGTATGTATTCTACTGCTACAAAGGATGTTTATTGGTATATTGGTATAGCGGGACCTTGGATACTCTATTTTGCAACTTGGGTGGTGATTTGAAAAATTTTCAATATAGGATCAAGCTGTGTAAGCCGTCACAATCGGTCAAAAGCGCTGCATCGTAGCTTTTTTGTTGCGATTTTTCATTTGGCACTTGTTGCCGCTACTGCTACGCTGCTCTACGGAGATGACAAAATTCATTGAGGAAAGACAGAAAAAAAAAAAAAAAAATTCATTACACTCAAATCTGTATACAATAATCATACCTGCTTTGACAGTTCCAAGAGAGGGATAGAGATGAGCGTGTGTGTGTAAAATCCAAGCCCTCTACGTAGTATATACTTGTATGCAGGTGAACAGGATCAAGATGTAAAAAAACAAAAAAACAAAAACTACTTACGTTATGATTGTACGATTGCTCCCGTGAAATTGTGATTTGTTTTTACACAGATATTTGCGAGTATAAAGCGAGTACGCGAGGAGAGTTGATAACGATTGATCGGAGCGTGTGTGCAGTTGTCGGCCGGGGCACCGAGAGTTGCTTGTTGCTTCTTCTCTCGTGGTACATACATATATAATACGCGTACACATGTACACCTTATCGAGTGGGGTGCGTCGTCATGACCGCGACCTTCCCTCCTCCGCGGAGTCCGCACCAACCATCTTTCTCTTTCTCTTTTCCTCTTGCGAGTATCGCATCTCCGACACACCGGTGATGTATATAGGGACTTGGGAGCGCGCGGTCATTTCGCGCTGACATCGGCGAAACGAGTCCCGTTCGCACTTCTATGCCCTACTTCGGTGAAATTCCCAACAACTTTCATTCCTCGGGCATCCAATTTTTACGCGTTTCGATGACGATTGTGTATATGAGAAGAAATAAAAAAAGTTCCATTTGCTTGATGAAAAAATTTAATCTCAATGTGTATTTTTTTTACATCGTGCATACACCTGTATGCCCAACAATCGTACAAGTAACGAGTGGTCGACGTGAATGTAACGATCGTCGCATCGGTAAGCCTACATATACATAATTATATACGTAAGTACGTCATAAAATCCATGGGGTTTCGAACGAAATTGGCTTTCGCTGGATCACTGTAACATGCGCGAGGCGAGGCTAGAACTTGTAATAAAAAATACATTACAATGTTGATCGAAAATTACATGGAAAATTTATTGGACTGTTGTGTACGTGTGTGTGTGTGAGTTTTGTTCGAAATGCTATAGAAATTAACGTTTTCGAGCTAAATTTGTATTTACAAGGACACCTCGAACGAAATAAATGGTGTGAGCAATGTCCGTTGTCAAGATCGTACGTAATTTTCTTACTGCGATACTTGCATAGAAACGTATGTTGTTTGGATGAATCTATACTAATTGTATCATCACAAAGAAAAGAGTGACGCGCATCGATCGAAACGTTGCCCGTTATTTTCATCATGAATAATAAAGTTAGAGTGATATTGCTAAGGGTATTGTCAGCACGTATAGTAAAGAGTCGCATCTAAAATTGTTTAACTACCTCCTTTGGTTCGCAAAGTACAAAAATTCCTGAAACAGAAAAACCAAATTTATGGTTATTTGGTTACATATATGATATTTGTGTTAATTTATAACAAGGGGAGTCGAGAAAATATGAAGAATTACCAAGAGAAACGCCGCCCCGAGAAGCAGAGATTTGAGCTTGACTGCGGTGTTCAGTGGAAAAGTCAGCAGCGTCGAGTAGTCGACCAAGGCACTGTCCCAGTGTCGAATCAACGATGCTATTTGCCGACTCCTGTCTGTCGAAAGTATCTGAAATCGATTGTAATTACGTTAGACTGGTTCGATGTACAGAGTATTTGTGTACGAAAAAAAAAAAAAAAAAAAAAAAAAAAAAAAAAATGACGAATCAAACTTTATACAATACCTGAAATTGCGTTTCTCTGGACATGCAGCACGAACACACGGGGGGACCTTCGATGTAACAGAGGGCTTGTCTGTTCTCGTCGTAAACTGTCAGACTCGTGCTTATGAGCGTGAAATTTTGCTCCACGCTTCCGATCAGATCGCTCGTTTCGACTGTGATTTTCTAAATTATTTACATTGAATTTAAGTATCATGTGAACGTGCAATTTGACAATAATAAATACATCAAAATTTAAAAAAATTGTGAAGCACGCGTGTATCTTTATAGGACATGGATTTTTTTATTTTAAAGTGCCTGCAGGAATACGTGGAAAAATTCCAAAGCATGAAATACACGAGCTTGCGACGATACCAGAAAAAAAAAGTTTCAAACTTTTGGACGATTAGACTTTGGGGTTGAGGTTCATTTGCAGTGTAATTAAAGACAAATAACCGATTTTCATTGTTTTTTTGGTTATCATTTCCCTACGAGTGTAGCACTCGTATCTAACGGCTGAGAACAAATTTGAAACAACGTGTCACGACTCATTTATTTTACGATCACTAGTCAACTTTCAAGGACTACTTTTCTTGATACTCATACATTTTCACTTGCATTATTATCAAAGACTCTCGACAGCCTACATTACATCGAAGCAGCCTTATCAGTCCACGTTGAGGTAAACGCTGACTCTTATAAAGTCATTAAGTAAGTCTCCCGAAAGCCCAACCGATAATGTGCTCCTCATTTTAGAGATACCTATACTTAAGAAAGTTAAAACTATTTTCTTACCAATTACTCGGAATTGTGTTGTTTACCTACTCGTACCTCATAACTTAATCATTGTTATTGTACAAAACAAGGGGGGGGGGGACAAAAAAAAGACCCTTTGATTGACTTAATACACATATGTATGAACTTACGTGCAAGAACGTGGGTACGCATCCCCAGCTAAGCGGCTTCCTAACGATGAAAGCAGTCTCCCCCGAAGGGTCCATGATGTTCAGCTCGAGTTGCCGCGATGACCTCAAAAACCGGCGCTGATACTTCCCCGATCTCTCGACAGCCAGGAATATCGTCTCCGCCCTCGGCACTTTCACCCTGTACTGGGATTGGTTTTCAGTCCTACCCAGCACTGCACGAAACAATCATATTAAATCCATAACGTCACCGCACTTGTCACGTATACGTGCAATGTAAGCCCTTACGAAAATTCAAATCGACGATCTGCTGGATCTCCAATTGCTCGACGCTCGACAGGAAATACGTTCCCGAGAAGGCACTCATGTGCGAGGAATGGAACGTCGATACCCAGTCGAGACTATCGGGCGACATTTCCGACCTTTGGTTTTCTGGGGATGATAATATCAACCGTCAATTAATTTAAAAGGGAAAAAAAAATCAATCTATATTTTAGGTACACACAACCACGTGCTGTACATATATATACTTACCAAGGCGGCGATTCGACACCGGTTGAGATGTGATGGTGGAAGGGCCCGTGTAAATCGGAGGTAGAAACAAACCATCGTCCAGCGGCGTTGGTGATCGCCGTTGCGGTTGACGATGGAAATTCTCTTGAAACATTGCGACAAAAAACGTCACCCGCTTCCACGCGCAGTATTTTGAAGAAGCACTATTTGTGATTTACGTACAGATGGATAGGTAGACACGATCGGCGTAAAATCGACGACGAGATCTAAGTGACGTACCGTTGGCTACTGATATATTGATAACCGAAACAAAGTACAGCAGTGTATCGTAGGTATATATAGGCACGTGCAGTCCTTATACACACACTGGCTCAACAGTACAAACGACTGACGAAGGTGTTCCTGGGATATATCGCGACCCGACAACACGTCGTCCTCCTCCGAGCACCGCAATCACGTATACTATACCTGATGATGTGCCCCCCCCCCTCCCTCTTTACGACACTATCGTCGGCGTTTTGTCTGGCTTATCTGTCGCTCGATAAGCATTATCAATTTCTTTTTTTCTTCGCCTATACAAGAAGGAATATCCGACAGTATACGTACGACATGCTCGTTTCCCATTGATGACTCTGGGTGTTTGTTTAGCCCAGTTATTGCCGCGAAGGATACCTCAACACCCTACGCGCGTGTATATTTATCATCACTTTGGGCTATACACTTTCTTTTTTTTTTTTTTTTTTTTTTTTCAATTTTCATTTGAGACAATCGCTAACGGCCATTAAAGATAATACACCTTTTGATTCGAAAGGAATAGATACCTCCACTTTCGATTATACCAAATGACCACGTCATATATACTTGGAACATATTTATATCCTTACCAATATTTCATCATTATATCGATCATTAACCCAATGTGTATGTGTATCGATTGCATATATAGGTACTCAATACACAGTCAGGGAGTAATGATCAAAAGTACAATAATGATGGGATTGTAATGATTTCTCGATAAAGTCACGTAGGGTACAATTAATTACTGTGTCGCTCAATGTTGAAGGTGGTACAACAGCTTACCCAAATGATATAGAAAAGGTAACGGCTCGTGGATGCATATATATATATATATATATATATATATATATATGGGCTCAGAGATGTAATGGATGGGTGGGTAAAATGTATCACTGACTCGATTATATTGTTACGACGAAGCTGCAATTGGTCAGTAGTAAAAGAGATACTTCGAAACTTTGGATGATTTATGGTCCCACGTACCATAATAGGGTTGCGTCGTATACGTTAACTTGTTGCTACACGGAGCATCATCGATAAACTCGAGCTTGCACATGTACACACGCGTGTACAGGCACACACGTATGTATATATCCCAGGTCCGCTCCCAACGATCGATCTACATCCATAACTAGAGGAACAGCTCATCCCCCGCAATCTTTGTCCAGCCCCGGCGAGCCGCGCTTGCCACATCGGCTACACACGTATCCCCGCGCAACGACGGGTACGAAATATTGTGTGTGCCCATACCGGGTCACTTTCCATGCGCGGCTCTATCGATTCGATAACGCCAGGATGCGTGTGCGCGCGGTACACGCCGAAATTCAACAGATCCCACGCAAGGGTGGTCGCGACAGTCGCTCTTGCCCAGCCGCGACGATACGCAACCTCGTCCCTTTTCCTTCTGGAACCCAACATCGGAGGCTGCTCCAGAGGATCGTACCGATCGTTATTTCCACCCGACCTCGCTGGTCCACGTCCACGCAGAGTACGTATACACGCGTATTTTTTGTTTTATTTCATTGGCGAGTTTAGTTAAGCGGGTTAACGAATACAATGTACACAACGCCCACACCGATACAATATTATATATATATATACACACATATGGTACACGTTGAATCGACGATGACGTCCATTGAATTTATTCTCCTTTTGAAACTACATGTGTATATTATACATACAACACACGAGTGTCAGTCCTTGTAAGTGACAAAATAATGAGCTGACAAAATTATTAACACTACGATGGTTGTTACAAATCAAAGCTATATATAAATGTATTGTAAATGGTGATCCATGACTGTGCACACACAGAAATATACACGCAGAGAGAGAGAGAAGGGTGTAAAAAAAAATAATGGCGCTCAAGGGTGGTTGGTTGCCGTTGGTCTGCCTGATGGGATTGGCAAGTGCCCTCGGCCCGTTGCCGCCGCACCGCATGAGCGAGGAATCCCTCAGGGGCGCGTTGAGCGCCGTTGCGAGGAAGCAGAGATCCTTGAACAGCGCCCCCCACGACTATTACCTCGAGTTGCCTATGACGAGGCTCGGAGGACCCGAGGATAAGCTCAGTCGCGGGCAACAGGTGGCAACCGACGACATGGACAACGACGCTCTCGACTTCATTCCACCCGGTAATTGTTATTGTCCATGTATATCGCACCCTTTTCGCCTCTCCGCCTTCGATCTGCCCTGTTCTCTATGCCTGATCGATCGAAACAGCTGCTATGTGGACCCGTGTGTACTGATATGGGGCGTCAATCGACCACACGCAGGGGAAAAATAGGTGTGCTCATTGATTCCCGTTAGTATACTTGATGCGCGTTATGTTGACGGGATTTTCTATGTTTGATCGCCCCCCATAGACATTAATGTCGATTTGTTGTACCTACTCGCGGGGGTTTTTTTTTTTTCTTCAGATTTCACACAAAATAAATCAACCTCTGCGCGCAGTGTGTACGAATCTCTTTTACTATGTGTAACGAGCATACGTAGTTTCAGGAGTACACGCGTTTTTCAGAGGTGAATCTTGTGGTACAGTCGTGTTTTTTCTTTTTTGATCGAGTTACTTGCAAGTATGGGTCTCTTGTATGTAGATTACCGTCGCGTATACAAATTACGGAACATCTGCGATGATATACATATATGTGCAACGCACAAAAACGGGGTGGATGCGGGAAAAAAGTTTTCGACTTGATCCACCAAGTGTTATGGTATGGTAATAATCAATAATGACCGAGTTTGGATGAAAGGAACGGGCCAGGTGGAGACAATCGGCGACGGCTACCAGCACTTGGGCAACAGGCAACACTTGGAACGGGCCCTGATGGACTACTTGCAATACGGCACCGACCAGGTACAAGCATTTATTTATCATTCGTATGATATTTCAACACTTACAGCCAAGTATACGTTATTAATGTTGACGCGTGATTGAAAAAAAAAAAAAAAAAAAAAAACGTGATGATCGCAGGCCAACGAGGACGATGAGCCAGCTAGGTCGGTGTTCCGGGAACGAGAGCGCACCGGCAGCCGCAAACGGACCAGCAACGACCAGCAGGACCTGCTCAGCGACAAGATGCTCCGGCTGTTGCAGGACTTGGAGAACGAGCAAGCGCCCAACAGAGCTTATCCCGGGTAAGGCTGATATACATATACACGCGTGTATACATAACAACGGAGAATCGGTTCAATTATACCATTAGCGGCTATGTAATGTACGTGGTGTATAGGAACAGTGTCGAAATGTACCGACAACTTGTGAGCGGACATAGGAAGCCAGGGCAGGGGAGAATCGAGCGGAGGAACGTCAACGCGCGCTACCCTCTCTTCAACCGGGAGTACGGCTACACGAAGCGCTTTCCCGTATCGAAACGCAGCGCCAAATCGGCCGCGACCACCAAGAAACGCCAGGCCGTTGTTACCGATCCTAAGGTATACTGTACTGTTCTATTGGGCTTGGGTGTAGATTGGTGACCGTTTTCCTCTCTATTAGCTCGACGCGCAGGTTGCTCAGGACCTGGGATCGTTGTTCGGCGGTAACGGAGTAGTTAACCGCAGCCACGAGCACGAGCATGATCACGAGCATGATCACGAGCACAAGCACGGGAACGAAGTAGCGAAGGTCGGTGTCAGCCTGAAGGACGGCTCGGCCAAGTTGGCCAACAAAACGATCCGGGAACGGAGCATCCAAGTGAGGAAGAAGAGCGTCGACTGGTCTCAGTACTTTGGGATCGATCGCAGGAAGAAGAAGACCGTGTACGCCGCCAAGCCCGACAGCCGGGACCAGGACAACGAGTATCTGTTGCAGAAATACTACGAGGTATTTTCTTGATGAACCCATAGCCTACGTCACTTTGACAATGATTTTTGGTGTGCGTTTTTTGCGCTGCAGATAATGGCCGAGAATTTGAAGCCGAGCGTTGCCGGCAAGAGCAGCCCGGCCGGTGAGAAACGAGGAACGGATCAGCTGCAGCAAGTAGACTCCGAGCTGAGGGACATGAAGGATACGATGATGGACGAGGCTGTGCAGGTGAGCTCCAGAAACGACATGGGCGACCAGCAGGTCAAGGACGAGATAATGTCGCGTCTGGCGACCGCCTATTCCCTGGAGAAGCTTCGCAGGGCCCTCGAGGAGCTAAGCAGCAGCGCCGATACCACTGCACAGCAGCAGCATTCGGCCGTAGCTGAACAGACTTCGACCAGCAATATGACGGATGCCAGGAGTGCCACCGAGAACAAGCGGAACAATCCGCGCAACGACGATTCCGGCAACACCGTGGTGCAAGGTAAGACGATTTTTCATGTATTTCTGCCGATGAGGCGCTGAAACCATACATTTTTGTTTGAAAATGGGAAACAAAAAGCTGGGGCCAAAGGCTGCCCGCAGATGATGCTGGCCGAGGCTCGATGCAGGGCAAACGAGGTTCTCGTCGATGGATTCAGAGAGGCCCTGCACATTCCCTGCGTCATGTATCAGATCTGCAGCAGCTGCGTGAGTATATGCATACCTGAACCTTTAGCAACCCAATCGCGTTCAGTTAAACCTTATTTTTGCTCCGGAGTTGTCGTTGTTGCTTTGTAAAACACTTGCTTCGGATGCCGAGTTGTCAATTTAGGCGTGCTAATTGTTCACTCGTGCTCGTGTACGTGCGTAGGAGGACGACAATTGTCTGGAGAGATTTGCCCTGGAGGTTGAGAGAGTTTGCCAGGACGAGGAAGAGGAGGAGGGCGAGGACGAGGAGGAGGAAGAAGAACTGCAACTGAGGGGGCTGCCTTCGGTGTCGAAGAAGCGCTGCGCCGAGGATGCTCTGATGGTCACGCGGCCCCGGCTGGAGGGCTTGGCGGCCGCCTCGGTCTGCCGCGCGCTCCAGTCCAATCAGCGCTGCTTCGACATCTACCAGCAGCACTACATTCATCCCCGTCTCTATGGTGTCTTGGATTTGTCGCGCAATCGTCTCGGCCATGCCTATAATCGATAAGCTGCTCGTTCGTATCGGCCTCGACTCGACTCCGCCCTCTCCGACCTTTTAATGACAACGCGCTCTGCTTCGGCCTCGCACATTACTGGCTGTCCAAACTTCCAAAGTAATTACTATATGCACAACATTTTTTTGTTTTACTATCCTCTGAACTTTTTTTGTTTTCTCTTTCATGGTTGTGCTAGCTATAAAGTACCATTGTTTAAAACGCAAGGATTAAATCCAACAAGAGTCTAGAGTAATGTTGTTAGGATTTGTTTATTTTACTTACAAATTTTATCAAATATCGTGTGGTTTTGCTCGCAAGTGATAATTATTTTCAGTTGTAAGAAAAAAGATAACATATATTTTTGTGACAAACGTTAGTTAATTGTTACTGTCAGCGCGTATTCTTAAGCGTTGTATTTATTTATCGTACACGCCACAGCTACTATGCAATTTTTCGTTGATCCCTTGTGATCTCAGCACTGTTCCATAACTAGGTGAACTACTTCATAATAAATACATATTTTGTACAGTTAATAAATAATCAACAGATGGTCCTAGAATCACGGAGAGAGAGACTCAACTGCTAACATATATATCTCGATATTTTAAATCATTGTATAACTTTGAAGCCAGAGGACTGAAGCATTTTGATATCACTTCTTAAATTTATTCTTTTTTCATTGTTGGTTATTAATTATGAATTGAATTACGGCTTAAAAATTTTCACAACGAGAGACAAAGTGCATGTTACAGAACAATAAATATATAATTTATATACTGAAGAAAGGCTGATGCTTTGCGTTAAATGTGACTGTTTTGTTGATGTCTCATATATTTACGTGTACGTACGTACAGCAGTTAACCGTTGAAAAGGCTTTATTTATTTTATATGAATCGTTTTGGAAAAACCAATTTTAAGTATTTGTGGAGATAATATTCTCAAGAAAAGTCAACAGTTGGATGGAGCGAACTAACTTTATGTTTTGCATCAGTATGAACTGAAACAATGTTCCAAAGTATCGTACAAAATTATAAAGATGGTGTATACATATACTAATAGAATAATAAGGGAAATTAAACTAATTAGTATTTGCATGTAAACATATATACGTATGTGTACATGTACATACACATAATGTCATGAAAGTCAGAGCACAACTTTCACAGCCTTCTTAGAAATCTTTAATATTTAAATGTCTTAAACTAAACGTAAAAAATAATATATTATTGTGTATGTGAAAAGACTTCTAAGACATGAAAGATATTTTTATCGCGCTTTGACTCTGATATTAAATACTTTGTTGTTTAAATGAAAAATGTCTATATGAGAAATGTGCACACAATCGTAAGATTACAAAAACTGCATGTATACGTTGATAATAACTTTGAATTTGTGACAACAAAAATCAAATAACATGATGAATAAATATATTTAAGAATACAATATCCTCCTTCGAGGATTAACTTTTATTAATAAAAACCTATACCGGAAAGTACAACTGGAAATACCCATAATTGAAGTTTCAATAATATTTTGTATGTTTTTGATTCACTCGAAATGAACCTTGGCAGATTTTTTTAAATTAACAAGCTTCGTCTTGATATTCCTGTGTTCGGGAAAGTGCCTGACTGTGGTTGTATTCTTGCGCGACACTTCGTTGGAAATTTCAAGAATCTTAATACATTTGGGATTGAACAAACGAAGCATGGTCATTTGTACTTCTTTGCATTCGACTGCAAAGGGAAAAACAAGTTTTGCAGAGAAAAGCTGCTCGAGAGGAGGACATTTAGGAGAGTAATTTCTACTTACTGCGCATTTTCATAACTCTTTCGATGAGGATTTTCGTGTCAGCTATGAAGCTCTTCAAGTCTTGCAAGACTTGTTCGTGATTTCCAGTCTCAGTAGACATATCGTGAAGTACCCAAGTGAGAGAGAGAGAGAGAGAGAGGACAGAAAGTTGCAACTGAACAAGAAATAGTTTTATTCTGCTGTCAACAGGTGATATTCGGAGACTAATTTACTATTGGATCAAGTTATTTGAGGCGTAAGCACAAGAGTGGAAAATTTTCGCGTAAGTACTTGAGTTTAAATGTCGTTCCGCCTTCCGCCACACAACAGTTAGGTAATAGGTGCGGTTAGGTTGGGCTACAGTGGACGGGTACCGGGTAGCCACCATATGTTTCAATCATTTCACTATTTATAGCAATACTATACTACTGCATTGGAATGTATATACTTATTTAGGGTATAAATTCTTGGGTCAGAGTTGCTGTAATGTAAGTAGGAGATCCTCCAAGTCCTAAAAAAATAACTCCATTCGAAGTCCGTTGATTGTCGACACTTATAACTCATAGTATTCTCTGCGCTCAAGCTTCCAACAAAAATCTATTGTCGAAATCTATGAAAAACCATGAGTTTGAAGAGATCAAAATTTAAAACAAAAATGTTTGTTCTCGTGACCCATTCTATACTGATTTCAAACTCTACATATATCCTGTTGTTTCCAATTTGCTTTGCAACATACACCCTCTTTGTTTTTATTCTGGAAAAAGGTAGTAGTATAGGTACCCTATAGGTATACCCAAAAAAGTCGATCACGACAAAAGAATTAAATAAATTTTATGTTTTATTTATTTTTGTAGCCGTAACTGACCTAAATTTGAAGAAAACAATGAACGTTTACAAAAAACTACAAGCACTCAAAAAGTACACGTAAATTTGAGCTCTGACGGAGTAAAAATATTGATTTTGTATCGAAAGATATGGGCGACCATTGAAGTGTAACATCGTTTAATTTCTAAGTTTGGAAATTACAATGAACAGGAAATTCCCCCTTTTACTGGATAAATGAAAATATTCGTTTTATTTTGGGTGTAAACTTAAATTGACCGATAAGTTAACTCAACAAACACTTAAATAAAAAATACATTTATTACAGAGATGTAAATTTCAAGTGTTATAAGTAAACAAAGAACCCAACCTTCTCTGATCAAGTGAGATCCAATGCTCCATTTCTATAGGAGAAGGAGACTCTTCGTGTGACTGCTTCTTTATAAGACCTTTTTTCTTCAGTTGTCTCTTTTAGACTGATTAATTTACGTGTATATTTGATCGTGATTTACGATTTCTGTAACACAAATTTTGCTATGTACATATTATATAAGTTAACTGTTTATTGGAAATCTAAAGTTGAAGGGCTGTTCTTTCATTAGTTAATGGTAAAAGGTCAAGAGTATTGTAATTTTGTAAATATTGTCGATTTTATGAGCCATATAAGAGAAGTAGAATATTGGTTGTCGGTGGTCGATGGTTTTGGAGGTCGATTTTAAGGTAAAAGATAAATTGTAAACTTGCCGCAAGTAGCACAAAAAATGTTAACTTTTTATTATTTATCTATAAGATTTGTTGCGGCTGGTTTATAACTAATAAAGTGACTTTACTGTAAGTAGCAACAGCAATAATTATTTTAGATCAGCGCCATCTAGCGGTCTCTATTTTTTGGCCAAAAGTGGCTCCTAAAATTCTCAATCAGAGCATTCAGGATTAGAGCCATTTAATCAATTATAAACCAGCCGCAACTCATGACAAAGCTATAAAATAAAAAAATAACGATATGTGTGTTTTTGGCGGCAAGTTAACAATTTATCTTATGCTTGAAAATTTATCTTCAAAAGTATAAACACATACGATGACGATTTTTTGGTAAAAAATAAATTGTTAACTTGCCGCCAAAAACACATGTATCGTTGTTTTTTTATTCTATAGCTTCATCATGAGTTGCGGCTGGTTTATAACTGATTAAATGGCTCTACGCGCTAAAGCTCTGGTTCAAAAGTTTAGGGCCACTTTTTAGTTCAGAAATTCGCAACGCTAGATGGCGCTGATCAAAATAATTATTACTTCTTATATTAGATGAGCCATTTAATCAATTATAAACCAGCCGCAACTAATTTTATGAATAGATAATAAAAAGTTAACGCGGTCTGTGCTGTTTACGGCAAGTTTACAATCTATTTTTTACCAAAAAGTCTACCTCCAAAAATATAGATATTCATATGGTTTAATGAAATCGACCATATGGCATTATTTAGTAGTAATTACTTTAATTACTACACATAACTTCACGTATGTACATCTTACACCGTGCTCTCTTTACCAGAATGATAAAATCAGAGGCTGTAAAGTTGCGTAGGTCGTGGTGGTAAAGCCGCTTGGGATGTTTTCCGCAATCGTCGTCACCAGCAAGTAATTTAAATTTGCGCTCTACGTTACCGTCAGGTCAGTAAATCAACTCTAGCTACCATGGGCGACATGCGACATATCTTCTGTAGTTACAACGTCATCATACCCGCAGCCGATAATGTACCGATATCAATTCGACCCTTATATATACTTGGGTTGGGCAGCCCATCTACGTTCGTTCGCGTAACCTGTGCTCCGGGATGCGGTGGTGGGAGCAAGCGCAGCAGAGCGGGAAGCGAACGAAAGAGAGGAAGCGAGAGAGATAGAGTGAGAGAGCAACGACGAGAGGAGGAGGACGGAGGACGAGGAATGAGACGTGTGCGAGACGGCCTCGCACTCAGTGTCCCGCCATGTTTTTCACTAGCTGGGTTGTGTAGAGAAGGCCGGGGTGGAAATCATCTTTCTCGGGGCATGCAGGTACCCGTACCATCATTTGTTTTGACACACTCGTGTTTGCACTCTCGTCAACCCCCCGACATTTAAACATCTCCAGTTTCCTCCCTCTTCTCCCCCCAACCATCGTCCATCACCATCAAATGTAATCCTTGCAATGATCACGATCATGCTTTCTTCATCATATCGACACACGTATCGCATCAGATAGGTATACGTGTGTAAGTCACGCTTTTCGAGGCAACTTTTGAAGCTGTAGTTGAGAAAAACGTTTTCCCCATCTCTTTCTTCCTCCTTGTGTGTAATATTGTTATATGCCATAGTCGTGCACACGTATACACACCTTTTGCTATATAAGATGTCCATAATTATATACGTGCTACTACTGAATCTACTGATATTTTACTGTAACAAGCACACAAATGTATGCCTAAAACTGTACATACCTATTTTACACTAAACAGGTATATATTATATACATGCACACACACGCCTGCAACGCCTATATGCCAGATGACTCGAAGCAACGCGCCAAAACTTACACTCGATCCTTTTCGCGTGTTTGACAACAAAACCCATTAATCATGCTCTCCCTTCAACGCGATCACCCACCGTCATGTTGCTCACTAACAACGAGCATCAAGCTTTGTTTTTTTTTTGTTTATTTATTTATTTATTTTTTTTTTTCCTCTACCCCACAATCCCGCACACCTCTCGTACACACACACACACACACATTTACACCCCTATATGCGTGCGTCTTTCGTTTGGGCTGGACGTCTTTTTTTTTTTTTTTTTTTACTCAGCCTCCATCCGAGTTTATTTTCTCTTTTCCCGTGTCTCCAACTCGTCAAATCCTAGGTGAAAAAAGAAAAAAAAACATGACTTTGTCCAAATTCCCCATTATTTACACGCCTCGATGTGCTCAAAATATTTAGAGCACTGCTCGTCACTCTCTCTCTCTCTCTCTCTCTGTTTTATTCCTCGCTCTGTTTATACGTCTTATATCTCTCTTGACTCTATACCTACCACCTATACTCTCTCGGCATTCTTTATTTCTTTGTCAATTGTTTTTGTATACATGTATATGCGTGGATTGCGCATTATTTTATCATTTTGCAGCGTTGATTCTCCTTTCGCGACTTTCGAACGTCGGAGCTTTTCTTACACTCCAGCGAGCCTCATCTTGTACTTATATTCCCTAGCCATGAGTAATACTATTATTGGATGAGAACACTGAAATAAAAAAGATAAACAAAAACACTTAATCAATGACACTACACTGTGTGTGTGCGTGTAACTATAGGAGCACTACGTTTTGTGCGCACATGCCCACGCAGTGAGTACACAAAAATATAAATATTATATTCATCGTGCTTATATTTACATTACGTCACATTCTATTTACCAATAGAGCCGTTGCACTTTCACTTGCATCCAAATCTCTGTGGCTCATGTATACTTATATACATGCACCACAGTCTCACATGTTGACATATCATTATTATCTCAGGATAAGTATAACTTGTCGAACCTGACTCACATATACTTAAGGTGTGCAAGCTCGCGATTAGCTTACGTACAATACGTATACATATGCACATTTGACAACGTAAAACGCTTACATACCTGTTCGTGTTTTTAAAAATCGATTATTACAAAACTCTTGACCTTGTCCTATGCAGGCGTATATTATTCGTGTACACGTATCTGACAGATCAACTTGCAAGCATTTGAGGGCTTCCCCGCGCGGCTGTGAAAGACGGAACATGACGCGAACGACGCTATTGTATATATAGGACTCGAGCTTTCACCTGCTTTTCCAGCATGTCATACTTTTTACGCTAATGTTACACTTCTATGTCACACCACGTATTTCTGTAAAGGAGTCCGTAGGTTAACTTGTTCGCCTACGTGTACAATAATAACAGAAGGTTAATATAATTTAAATGCGCACATATATGTGTATAGAATATTATATATAGTTACGGATTGACAACCAGTTGTAGTTTTGTCGTTTTAGCAGTGTCATGAATATAAGTACTATTCATCGTAATTTTGTTTTCATTGGCATACAATATTGTGATTTATTGCGCGTTATCAGTTACAGTTGACACATAGTGTTATTTTTTAACCATGCGATTATTAACGATGTTTCGTGCTTGTGTGTGCAACATGCTCAAAATATATAGTGTACGTGTGTTTTGTGTATTTTTGTTTCAGAGTCAAAATGGGAAGGAAACAATTCTTCTCGTTTTGTATTGAGGCCTGTCATTCTTGCGACGACAACGAATCCCAAACCATTCAAGCGTCAAAAAGAAAAGCCTCGGATTAAAGGAAACATCACAAGTATAAAGTACTTGTACTTACCCAGCCAGCAATCATAAAGAAAAAAAGGAGGAAAAAAAAAGAAGAAAAAAAAAATACGAAACCGAAAACAGCTAGCAATACATGCATGTATATGTGTGTGTATATATAGGACCGACAAAACTCACTCGTATATCTATATACACACACATATATCAACGAAACTGCTCTACACAGGCATCGTAAACGAAAAAGTGGAACCTTGGTGGCAGAAAAGGAAGAAGCAAAAAAGTAAGGAAATACATTCAAGTCGCAAGGAAACGAGACAGCCTACAATAACATGCAGCCAGGTAAATAAAACGTACTTACACCTATGATTTTTATGATGAGGAAATTTCATCGCAGTGATATGTAGTTTCTCGTTTGAATATAATTATATTTTGAGAGACCTGATGCAAATGATTGATCCAACTGTAATAACTGTGTCATACCATATTTTTCAACATCAAGGCATTGTAAAAATAGGTATATACGTTTATCAGATTCATATCACCAATTAAAAAAAAAAAGTTTCATAAATATCCTGGTATTAAGAAACTGTGGCTACATATGGCACACAAATAATTGATACCCTGTAGTTGAAATATTTATGAAAAAAAAAATTTCAAACAATTTAATTTGCAGCTCAGCAAAGTTGAATAGTACAGATAAATCGAAATTTACGTAAAAGTGTTATCTCGTTAAAAAAAAATTTATTCAGGGAAGGGGCAACAAAACTCAAAACTGTAACTCTTTGACTCAAGTTCTACTGAATCAACTAATAGTAGTAAAAGCGTTATAAATTTTATAAAATCAATAAAGTGTATAAACCAAGTGAAGCATAATTTTTGAAACACTAAATGCGCGAAAGCTCAAAGATCTGGATTTTATCTAATCTTAAAACTTCAGAAATTCCCGAAAGACAATTGTCTCGTAAAATCAACGTAACTGATTATTAAACATCGCGAATTTTGTAATACTTATACGTTGGCACGCTTTTGACTCTGAGAGTCGATGTGAAGTTTTGTCAAAAATTATCCGTTATCTGAAAATATGTATCCAATGAAATCACGAGAAGCTCTTATCATTTCGACGCAACATGAAATGCCGTCATTCGTAATAATGAAAGAAGAAAAAAAACCCTCAACGATTAAAATAGCGGTGATAATAGCAATATTGGTGTAATGTATCGATGACTGAATGTATAATTGTTTTTTTTTTGTATGTGGCTCATCAAACGCATCCGTATATGTGTACATCCGGCAGATGAGAAAATGATTTAACAAGTAAAAGGGGGAAGATGATCAAGCCGGAGACGAGAAAAGTGCGGCAAGCTCTCGGTGGGCCAAGGAGGCGACCAGCTTATCGGAACAGTGCGGAGATATGAGAAACCCGGGGTTGCACCTGGTCGGGATAGCGGCGTCCCCAGGCGGCGGAGGCCTCTTCCGCACCAGGGCCGAGGAGGAGTTGCGCCAGTGGTTGGAGCAGCGCCTGGACGCTTTGGGGATCGACCCGGTTGCGTACTCGCGCTTCGTTCTCAGCTTTTTGCGTCACCCTGACTCGGCCCTCACTCCACCCCTCGATGCATCAGCCGGTGACATCAATTACAAAGGAACAACAACAACAGCTAACAATACAAACGTTGCTGCCGCTGCCAACGGGCGTCGCTCAAAAGCCGCTAGGGCCCGCTCCTCCAAACTGCCACTACAGGGCGACAAGGAGCAACGTCGTGCCGTCGTCCAATGCCTTAAAAGTGCTGCTGATCAGGTACATTAATTTATACCTCACATATCATGTATAGTATTAGAAAATCGCTAATTTTGGCGTCTCGTGATTTTTTATGGTGTGGACTTCTTGCGACAGAAGTGCGGAGTCGAGACTTTGGTGGACGAGCTTTGCGCCAAACTGAAAGATCTCGAGGGTGGCAACTCCAAAGGTCAACAGGAAGAATCGGAAACTGCCACTGATACCGAGCCAAGGGTACCCTTCGAGACTCTCACTCCTCACGACCGGGCTTTGAGATACTACGCGGCATTCCCGGCCCTGCAACCGGTTGTTACCACTCCCAAGAAACTTCCTCACTGGTACAAAGAACCCAACTTGGAGAATCACGACGCAAACAACGCCAACAACAATAACTATTACTGTAACAACAACAACAACAACAACAACAACAACAACAACAACAACAACAACAACAACAACAACAACAACATCAATAAAAACAATTACAATAATCGTACGTGTAATAGTAACGTTAAAAAGAACAGTATCTGCAAAAGTAACGGCAAAAACAAAACTCGTCAGAAGAGAAACAAGCTTTCTATGGTAAGTTTTGAATTTTTTGTTCGTTTTTTCTTTCTTTCGCAAATTAAGGGTTGGAGGCATTTTATCGGAATCAAGATGGATTTCGATAAAACGTGTCTCCTTAAATGCAGTTTATCTAAAAAAAAAAAAAAAAAATTGCTCAAAGATTAAACGTTTGATTGGCTTTTTTTTGCAGCCTGCTGAACTACCATTGAGAAGAGAAAACGAAGATTTGGCGTTTGACGAAACGATGGAGCAAAAACACAATGAACAAGAACAGATGAATGCCCCCTACGAGTTGCAATTGGCCCAGTTGGAAGCCAAGTTCGATCAGAGCTTGGAGGCGCTGTGGGACGACGGGCCCGGGATCTCTCGAGACACCGACTCTATATGGAAAGCCCCATCGCTGTCCATATTTTCCGGGCCCTCTTGGCCCATAAAAAACGTCAGTGACGCGTCATTTCCGTCTGTAACGTTAGAAAAATGCGTCCTGGAAAGTCCGCTCTATCAAACGCTGCAGCAACACGTTGAAGACTCGCCGCTTATCCCGTTGGACATTCATCTGTTTAACATCGAAGATCGCTCGCACGATTCACCTGATATCAAAAGTACCTCACGTAAGTTGATGATTCGTGATTCTTTTTTCAATTTTAGAATTTGGAGCTTTTAAACCTTTCGAAAGAGTATAAAGACAAATCTTTCACGAAACGTTTCGGTATGATTAATGTGTGTACTTCCGTAAATGGTACACGAAAATCAATACTTTTGGTGTAATACTCAAATACATTTCATTAAAATTAATTCAATTCAGAGATACAAATGAACAAACAGGTATTGACCTCAGGGTATATTCGTAATATAAAAATAGCTCGTGTAGAAGTACATTTAATCTCGGCGTGATTTAATCATATTTAATCTGAAGCTGATGAAAAAAAGAGTTATAACTATACCGATAAAAAAAAAAAAAAAAGAACACGATAAGGAAATGGTTCAAAAGAAAAATACGACCCCGATACTAGCGCCACACTTGGTACCCCAATGAAATGTAACAATTAGGTACTTGAGGGCTCACAATTTAACGTTGACCTTGGCGCTAGTAACTATCAGTGCTGTGTGTACAAATGGCTCCAAAAAAACGACGAAGAGGTTAAAAAGCCTTAATTCTATGATTGTACACGATTGTAATGATATAAACCCTGAAAAATAACTGGAAACTATTTTTTTTTTTTTAATTGCAGAAACGAATCTATTTTTGCCCGACTCGGTTAAGGATAATTCTTGGTATTGGGGTGACTTGAGCCGCGAGAGTCCCCGAAAAACCGGCTTTTTCCCAGTCATTCCGTGCAAAAGTCCCGCAATTGCCGACAAAGATCATCGGTCCCCATCGATCAATCTACAAAAGCTCACCAGCTTACCGGAGCCAGACGAAGACTTGCTAACCTCAGCCCGCACACATTTTCGCCCGATCAAAGAGGACGGCAACTGGACCGACGGCACCACGTTTCCCGTGAACAATGCTCTGGAACGAGTCGCTTATCGCAGGTTTGTTCGCGTCTCGAAATTTATGCATATACCTACAAATTCTTTTATTGATTGTCGTGTTGGTCTTTCACAGGTCAGACTCGGGAAATTTGTTATACCTTCCCGACGGCGAGAGCCCGTACATGGAATATCGAGAGAATCTGAGCGCACCGATCGCCGTAGCTGTACCCTCGAACCTGACCCTGAAATTTAGGGTTCGCCAGTGCGACAAGGGCATACAGACCGAGCCCGTTCGTTCTCCGATCAAACGTCGAATCTTGTCTGAGAAAGATCGCTTGTATTACTCGTTGAATACCGACGGGGACATTATTCATGCGAACGATAGCGACGATGTTGAAAAGGATTCCTTTGATCTGGAACAAACGAATTGGGCCGATCAGCCCGTAATGCTTCTACGAAACGAAAGGAAAAGGTATACATATTTTTCATGACAGACACTTTAGGGATAGATATAATATGATGTAGGTGTGCAAGTACCGTTTTTTTTTTTAACGGGACAACAGTCAAACGTATAATATGTTTATTCAATTTAGAAGGCACAGCAGCAGTTTCAAGGCTAGACCGCTGGCAGTGTTGCGTCCGTTGACACTTTAAAGTTGAATAACGTGGTCTTGTGGAGGACGTGATCCACTGTAAGGAAGAGGCAAATTATTTTGTTTTTAGTTTAGTTATTTATCGCCGCGAATCGCTAAATACAATTAATTTTAAAGAAACAAACGGAAAAGGAAAAAAAAGAAAAGCAGAGGGGTCCTCTTGGCATGTGGAATTAGTTATGCATGAATCCAAGATGGAACAATTAGCCCCTTGCTAGCTATGTAAGTATGTATACACATATACTACATATGTTATGTTTATATTTAAATGCGAGGATCGGACGAATAAATTAGTAATTAAAACGAAAAAAAAAATCCATCGATTTTAACCCTTTGCACAAGTTGAAAACGATTGATTGCGAATATGTGACCAAAAGTTCGCCACATGTCTCGCATCTTGCGAGAATTCAAAGGGTTATTCAACGATGTAGTAAGAGTTATTATTTTTTGGTTTAATTGTTGATGACTTCTATCTTTTTTTTTTCTTACACGGTTTTTGCTTTTGTTCCCTTGAAGGAAGAAAAAAAAGAAGAAAATGAAACAAAACGATAGGAAAATAATTAATTTACTCTGTGGAGTTACGTTATTTAAAAAAAAACTATGAATACAGAAAATCTCTTGTCAAATCCACATTGATTTTCATTTAAGACCTATTCAGGGATTCAATGTATGCTCTAGAGTATTAAAAGAAAAATATACATATATATAAATATATATTTGTGTGTATATGTACAGATACATGGGTATTTTATCTGTACATGTATATACGTATGTATACACTCTCACTATACACATACACATGTACACACATACACACCAAAAGTCAAAAAAACAAGGTCAGTAAGAAGAAGAAAAAAAAAACACTTTAGGATTCAAAGTAATAAAAAAAATATACATATATATAAGAAAAGAGAATTCAATACACGAATGCTTTCAAAGCAGGTGTGTCATAGAAAAAGCACGTTTTTAAGAGAGAAAAAAAACAATAAAAAAAAGTGCTGTAATAATGAATAATGTTTTCGTTGATTTCATTTATTAACAATGGATTTAGGATAATTGATTTTTCGGATTGGAATTTAACCTGACAGAAACCTCACATAATCCTAAACCCGAGTTTCCTTTTTACCCAAAAATTTTACTTCCGCCTACTCTTTTCTCCCCCATCAGTGTCCTAAATTCGAAAAAAAAAAATTAAAAAAAAAGAAGAATAGGGAAAAAAAAATTTTAAGTTTGCAAGTATGTTTACGCACACGCGTGAATATTAAAGGATGAGTATATCTTGTGTATGTATAACAGAGGTTTTAACGAATGAACATACATATGTATGTATATGATGATTCGCATGATTAATTAGACCGCCTCTCGTGAAAAAAAAAATTTTTGTTTGTTTCTGTGAAAACGTCATTGTAATGCGCAATACATGAAATTATATGAAATTCTTGTAACAGCACCTTTAGTATAACGATAAAAAAAATTGACAAGTACAGACGCTGGAGCAGGAAATATACGGATGCTGTAATGAAATTACCATTTTTTTGGAAATCTTATGTTCTGGGAAAACTTGTTAAAAAAAATGTATAATTCAATAAATTAAAAAATGAAAATTTTACTACGTTGACTTGTTGATTATTATTACCAATTTTGGAGCCGTGTACTTAATTTTTTTTTGTATTCCAAAACACCGATAAAAAAACTTTTTTATCAATACGCAAAAACAATCGTGTCACATGATTTTTTTTTCTTTCTAATTTTAATTAAAAGATGAAGGAAAAAAGTAGATGTTGATAAAATAAACACAATAAATTTTTTTGAGCAAGCACTTATTGATTTGCTGTAACAAAGCCAAATATGCATTGTACATGTGGTTTTTAAATAGCGCACAAAACAAAAATATATGTAACAACGCGTGTGCCACGACAACGACGATCGATACGATCGATTGAAATCGTGAACACGTGCCAAGAAAAAGTTAAGCGATTATAAAACTCTCTCCGACTCGATTTTTTCATCTGTATCAGGATGTTTTTCATTTGTTTTAGCTTATTATTCCGGAGCCACTTTCATCGTCTTGGCCCAACGAATCTGCAGATATTTCAACAGCACAGTGCCATAAGCAACGCCAACTCCGATGAAAAGCGTTATAAAAAGCCCACCAAGATTTTCTATGAGAATACCCGCGGTCCTTTCGTCCGTGTCGTAGCACTTTTTCCTCTTCGGATTGTCGTCCCACCACTTTTTTCTGAGCTCGCTCAGCCACCCCTTGCTTCCCAAATCTCGAATACTGTTGAAAAAACAAAAATCAGAAATAGTACAGGGTATACAGAACTCCTCGCGTATGTGCGCTTACACTGCGTTAAACTTTGCGGTCAAGGGCGAATATTTGCGGAGAACCAGGGCAAATGGCTTCTTGGCGACATTGAGATCGATTTCTTCGAAGGTGCAGTTGGTCATCACTTGAAACCTAACATCGGTCGACTCCGTGATCAACGCAAACCTGGTGTATTTACTCGTGAACCTTCCAAGCCCCTCTTCCAAATCCTCGACGGGGTTGTGGGACATTACGGCAGCGTGTATTTTATGGTACTTGTCTTCCAGCGGGTACTCCCACACCGCCAATTTAGACTTCTCGTACGGCGTCAATTTATCGCTCAGAGTTAGGGATTTCCAAATTCTGGAAACACAAGTGAAAGGCCTGATCGTTTCTCTGCAATACATTTTTTTCTTGCTTTTTTTTTTTTTATTAAATACCCCGTATCAAAATTGTTGTCCAACAAAGTGTAAACTTGTTACATTATACAGCCTGCAAGCAATTATTACAATAATTCAAACTTTAAAAAATTATACAAAAATCTTTACTTTATCGCATACACTTTATTAAATATATAATGATTATAATTATTCTCTTAATTATTAAAAAAAAAAAAAGATAAATTAACGACGTACGTATTTTTACGTTAAAAACAAATTATTTGAAATATCACGAAATCGTAACACACACGAGGGGGACATATTATAGTATATTTATATTCTAAACGACAAAAGTATAGTATGGTATATACTTACTCGTAAAACTCGCGCTCGACGTGCATCCGGTTTTCAATGTAAGCCAGAGCCCCGGAGTTCTTGACGACCGTGTAATTAAACTTGTACTGCGCTTGAAGTTGTTCCCAACTGTCGATGGTTCTCTCGTAGCGGGAAACCGTGAGAAAAGCCGCAAAATTGGCCGTGTACGAAGTAACGATGACAAACCCAAATAACCACCAGGTGGTGGCGACCAACCGACCCGAGTAGTTTCTCGGCACTTCGCCGCTACCCTGCGGCGTCAACGAGGTCATGCAGAACCAGAGCGACTCCCTGAAACCAAAGACCCTCCGGCCCTCGTACTCCTTGGCTTTTGCGCGTCGATTTCTCGAGCTGAAGGGCGAGTACAGGTCGAACACCCAGAGCAGGCAGCTCGTCAGCAAGTACAGCGCCCCGATGCACAGCCACACCCTAGCGTCGAGGAGGGTGAAAAACCTGCGCGAGATCGGCATTGACGTGTATATATATATTATAATACATGCGTGGGCCATTCGTCACCTGAACAGAGAAGTCCGTGGTAGGGGTTTCTGCAGGAGGATCGACAGACCGGTCGGCGGATGGATGGGATCGGTGAAATCGACGATCGCGCTGCGCTGGGAGGTGACGCTGACAGTGGCCAGGCCTACGTCCGCCTTGCCGGCCACCAAATCTCCGATCAGTCCTGTCCACTTGTCCGAGCCTTCCTCGAAACGCCCGTACTCGCCGTCCCTTATTGACGTCCCGATGGTGTACGTGAAGTTGAGGCTTAGCGCTATCTTGTCCAGGAGATCGATCAGCATACCGGTGTAGCTCCGGGTGCTCTTGTCCAAGATGACGAAAGGCTCATTGGGTACTGTGAGCACTCGATACGATTTCATCTTCATCTTTTTTTTTTTTTTTTTTTTTTTTTCTTTCTTTCTTTGCTACGCAGGTATTGTCAGCTTTGAAAGTTGTGACGACTGTATGCCGTTCGGACGCTCCAACTGTTTATCCTGAGTTGCATTTATTATTATTATCATAATATGCGGTGGAAAAAAATGAAAAAAAGTTACATTGTGCTCATTTAACGTAAAACAAGCGACAAACATGTTTTTTCGGTACGTATATGTTCTTTTCAAGTACCTATACTACAATCGGGTCGATGGCAAATGTCCCGTTGTTTTTTCATTTTTTGTACTCCGTAATACCGCGTTATTGTGTATACACAAGCTGTATAATCGATTGTCCTTGCCAACTCGGAAATATTGTGTATACAACTCACGCATTGTGTTGTAATAGCCAAGCACTACGTTTTAGAATTTTTTTTTGTAAATTATTATTTTTGCAGTAATCTAACGTTTTAGATGAAAAAGTCCGTAGTGAAACCTTGACAGATTTTAATGTTGCGATTGCGAGTGAAGAGGCGTATATTGATAAAAAAATTTCAATAATGTATATATCACCAATAAAGTTTTTATTCACGCATAAAACTTTTACAAGATTTACACAGTAACAATAAAATATAAACAGTAAATGTCTTTGTGAACGAGAAATATGCATGGCTCGTCAGCTCAAACCCTTGTGGTCTCGAGAGGGGGTCTCATCATAGATGTACGCGGTCGAGTTCGAGTTTGGACTGTCACTCGATCTGGGATCTGGGTGGGGGGATGTTACGTTGACGTCACAATTTCGTTTACTCCTAAAATAATGTGACAGTCAAAACTCGAACTCGATGGGGCGATCAGACCCCAGGACCGTAGCCAATAAGAACCCCTTCCTCTCAAACATTGAGTCCCAAATGTTCCAACCTTCTTTATTCGAGTAAATTGATAGCAACGAGCTTTAGAATCGCATACAATGTTATTTCATTTTTTAATGCATTCATTTCCTTAGTATATTAATAAATAATAATTTTTACATCGATACGTGTATCCCATTTCATGCGATACATGGACATTTTAAACTTTTATTAAAAAGTCGTAGGACCATATCTCATCATTTCACAGCTAAAAATGGTTTTAAAGAAAAAAAATCGACAAAATAACTAATTTTTGGCATTTAGATATCTCTCATCATTTTTTTTGCCAGTTTAGCTCCAAACGTTCTTCATATTTACATCAAAGAAAAGCTTTTTGAAGTGTCGGAGAAAAAATACGACCTAAATTTTGAGCTAATCTACCACACAATATCAGAAAAAACCTTAATATTCGTTCATTGACTCAATGTAGCCAAAAAGATAGAATAAATAGATTTAATTGTTTGTGCCTTTATAACGTACTGTTTGACTGATCTAGAGGATTTTCGTTTTTATTATTCATTTACTCATTTGTGTTAACACTGGAAAAGCGACCCGTGATGAAGTTGTTATAACTAGGAGATTAAAACAATCACATTGTCTCAATTCAAGTTTATTCAAACGTAAACGTGAAAAACGGCATTTCTAGTGATTGATTAATTAACCAAGATGTGTCTCGAAAGCAATTACAAAATAAAAAAAAGTTATTAAAAATACACAACACATTTCCTTCGTTATTTGTGCAATCGATGTTAAAATAGTTCATTCGTTGACTTTTTCGTTAATCCATTTGTTTGCCAGCTCAATAATTGATCGCTTAATTCGATCACATGCGACAGACACGCTCCCTCCCTCGAGCCGGTCACATAAATGGATTAATGAGATTAAGTTTCTCACACAATGTATATAAATCAATAATCCCCCCTGACCTCGAATTCTAGCCACTACCCTGCATTCTGATGCCCCCCCCCCTGCAGTAACAAACGAAAAATCCACTTGCACGTGACTGACTGTTAAATGAAAGAAAACAGTATGAACCGATTTATCGATAAACTCATGATACGTATGGTTAAAAGCGAGCTCCAAAGTCGGTTGGTTCAACGACGGGTGTAGGAGCCGGTCGGAAGTTAAGCTTCATCGACTTGGAGACGTTCCCCACGACCTGCGCGCTCTTGTCGTCCGCAATGGCATCGGTTTGCTGCTGCTGCTGCTGCTGCTCGATTTGTTCTTGCAACTTTTTGCGCCTCATTTTCGGCCGCCTGAAGTAAAAGTACTCGATGAGCAGGGTAACGCAAGCCAGGAATACCCCCACGAAAATGACGATGAACACGCCCCCGATGTTGTTTATGCTGATACCCTCGTTCTGCTCCTCCGGCCTTGGGCAATTTTTCTTGTACTTACTGTAGTCCCACCACTTGTCCTTGAGCCTCTCGAGGTCGCGTTTGTTCAGCATCATCAGTATCCTAGGGGGGGGGAGGGAAAAACTATTGCAACATCATCACGTATGTATGTACGATTTGAAGGTAGGAGGGGACATACGCGTTGTTGAATTGGTCCTTGAGCGGAGAGCCCTGCTGGACGCCGATGGCGTAAGGCTTGCGCGAGAACTCGTCGCCGATTTGCATGAGGTCGCAGTTGACCATGGTGAGGTACTTGATGTCGGTGGCGTCGCCGATGAAGGCGAACTCGGTTTGGCCCTCGGAGCGCACCCTGGCGAGCGCGTCGTCCAAGTCCTTGGGGAAGCCGGCGTCCTTCATCGTTTGGAACATTTTGGTGTACTTGTCGCTCACCGGGTAGTCCCAGACCGCTAGCTTGGCGCGTTCGAAGTCGGACAGGCTGTCGTTAAGGCTCATGTCTTTCCATATTCTGGGCGAAAAACGATGATTTCACATCAGTGGTGCCGGAAAATCAAGTTTTTTTTTTTTTTTTTTTTTTTTTTTTTTTTTTTTTTTTTTTTTTTT